GGTATTTGAATATCCTGTTGTGTAAGATTTCTGGTTCCATTTAAGCTTTCCTTGTTGTACAAGAAATGAATTTAAGCTATTTTTTTGTCTTCTATCGGGCAAAAATGAATTATAGTTTAAAGGTGTTGCATCGATTGTAAGTGGAAATATTTTACATAGTCTTTATGAATAGAAATTGTACTGATTGCTTGACTTGAGATGTCTATTGGGATGTTAAGGAATAAGGGATGAGACCAATCAGGGTCCCAATTTTAATCTGATTGTTCGGCAATGACAGTGTCATCATTGGTACTATGAGGTCTAAAATTTTTTCTTGCTTGCGCAATTAAGTCAATATTGTGTGTGAAATAGTCAATTATGAACCATGCTAAGGTTTTTCCTAAGTCGTGTTTAACCTTTTGTGAAATTTCATTGCTTGAAAAATTTTCAGGAATTGTGTTTAAAAATGCTGAGAATGCGGCAATTTCATTTCTTACATTCGTGTGTCTTGATGTTTGAACTGGTGACGTACTTTCGGTTTCTGTCTTTTCTAGTATGGATAAATAGTTATATATTATTGCAAAAACATCGTACGGAAATATTGAATTTGCTCTCTGTGAATTTTGGTGTTGTATGTTTTTAATGTAATCTGCGAATACTTTTGAAAATTCTATGTCGACGTCGTCTGTTTGAATAACATGTTTACAATGAAATTTACTCGCTGTGCTGAGTTCTATGGTGCATATTCCATATTGTTGTTTTAGGTTACATATTCTTTTTAAATAATGATCGATATTTTGTCTTTTGATTTTTTTTTCTGCGAATTCTGCTTTACATGGTCTAATTCCTTGTTCGAATAAATTTGCGATTAGATTATTGCAAAATTGTATTTGTCCTCTATCTTCAGTGAGTGAATTGATGACAAATGGGAAAACAGAGTTTTCGTCTGGAGTTTCGTCACTTGGACTCTGACTCATTTTTTCGTTTTATGACTGTTAGTGCGTAGTGTTCGATGTGTCTGATTGGTTGATTCCAATTGTATAAACGTACTGGTTTATTTTTTTTATATATTTTTGATTCTTCTTTTTCCTTGTTTTGATGAATGTGATGTGGCTTCTGAATCGGAAAAACATGATTGATCGTCAACTGGGTAGTTTTTATTTATTGTGTCTTTTAGTTTGCAAAGTGCATCTAAATTACTAACTTCCGATTCGGCGACTGCGTTTCTTCGCTTTGAAAATCTTTTCCGTGTAATTTGTCTTTGTTTACTTATGATTTTTCTTTTTCTTGTTTGTCGTTTTGTTTGAATATATCCAATCGTTTGTTTGTGCGGTGTGATTACGAGATCGTATGTTATGTTGTTTAATTCGCAATGGTGTAAAACGATTGTTTGTTTATTTCTTAAATTGTTCAGTGACATAAGGTTTAGGGTGAAGGATGCAAGGTTGTTATTAGTGATTTTAATATCCTAGACTGTTAGTCCTTACGAATTTTTGGTTAATCTAGCTTGGGTCTTTTTATTCAGGGTTGGAGAGAAAACTATATATCGATTCCGGAGAAAGATTGTTACTTTCTCGTGGCTGTTCTAAGTTAAAGTGTTAACTTACTTAATCTTACTTAGGGGTAATGATTGTATTCAAGGGTTGGAGAATAGTAAATCAATCCACAAGTCTCAGGTATATTTAGAACGCAAGTAGTTCGTTAGGTACTATTTTAAACTTACTAAGATTTAAGATTTAGCCTGTGTCAGGTAAAAGGGGGGATCAAGTGAAGGATGAATAACCGGCTCTTCACTGGTTAACAAGTTCTTCACTGGTTAACTTAATTAGAATGGTTAGAGTGATTTGAAAAATTTCTATTAGTCCTGGGTCTTTGAAAGGGTTTGTTAGTGAATCGACGTTTGAGGTCGTTAGACACTTTATTAATTGGGTGGGGAGAACAAAATTGTTCTATTTGATCCAAGGATAAGCCTTGATGATCAGGATATAAATTTAATGGTATAAAATGGAGTAAATTTAAATATTTAATGGAGATCCAAGGAAAGCCTTGTTGATCTACTTTAAGATTGAATAAGTTGAAGTCAAATAAAGGTAAAAATTAGGATAGGACTTTAGAAATAATTTAAGTTTAATTGATAGAAAAGTTTAGTTTTGTATCATATTAGTGGTTTTATGATTGCTGTTATGTTTAGGTGATGAAGCGGGAGATGACAGGATGATTTGTATATACTAATAATTTATGATCATGTTAACTAATTTTTTTTTATTTTCAAAAAATAAATTATTCAGATATCTTTTTGAATCTTACTGCCGTTTTGGAGGAAACAATTTGAGATGATTTTATCAATCGTTATTGTACAATTGTAAGTTTGTTTTAGCGCTTGAAATAATCATTGAAAGCTTTCTTTCAAGATTTTTTGTTTGCAAATGAAAATCTAAATTCATTGCTAGTAAATTTTTAAATATAAAAGTTTGTGTTGGCTTTTGCCGTACGACCATGAAAGTTAAAGGTAAGTTTCCTTGTAGACGTAGATCGTCTCTTGTCCGAGATCTTCTTCCAATACCGAGTAGTTCTCGTATTGTACGGAGTAGCGGCTCTGATCTATTGAGTCGTAGAGACATTTCAATTAAGTTATTGTCATGTAACATTTCGAAAATGTTTTTGTCTATTCTAATCTATTTTGTTAGTTTTAAACTAATTTGTTTTTTAAAGTCTTATTCGAGACTTATGGTCGCACCAGATGAGTTAAATTCGAGGTGTAACTTCGGATAGAGTACACCGTCTGCTCGTCACGCTATCTTATTTTCGGCCGGATAGATTCGTGCAAGTTCTTAGTCTAATACCGATCCTAACCTTACTCTTATATCTACTAGTCTCAGGGTGTTTAAATAGTCTCTGCTATGCTCAATAGATCTAGAGTATACTGGCTTTTTGCAACTGCTGAAGTTCTCTTGGAGAGGTAACTAATTTCTAAGTTAAATTCAAATCTCTCTGGTGCTGAAATTACAAGTAATTTCAGCACTTACAAATAAGTGGGTTGTTAGTTAGATGGATCATGATTGGTTAATATTAAGTATTTTATGGTGTTAAAATATCTAATTTATAACCAATAATAAAATATAGTTTAGATCTGGTTCCACAGTGTACAAACCGAAATCTATATGGCAAAGTGGATTTTAAGTCATGAAAGTAGCTGCAAATACATAATTTTGGTCCCAAAACTCCGAAAACAAAGTTTCGAAATTGTGAAATTAGTTAAAAAAAACATCGCAGAGTGTATCAATAAATTCCGGATGCATCACATTTTTGCCGTACATCACAGGATTACAAGGTAATGCGACTTTATGTTCGTAGCTTTGCAACCAAATCGGTGTGTTCAGATTTTTGCAGCCAAATTGTGATAGATTCGGAAGTTTTTGACACAGTTCGCAAAATGCGAGCCTCATTCTTCATACTTTTGCGCTTTTAAAATTTTCTCACGTTTGCTTTTTACCTCACCAAGTCTTTTTTGTTTGAGATGACGTGCAGTGTCGACCCACCTTTTTAAAATTGAGCCAATTTTGCCTTGTTATAACTTAATGAGCGAGCTTTTGCGACTTTATGTTCAGAGCTTTATGACTAAATCTCGGTGTCCGGCGGCCGAACTGTGACAAATCGATTTTTTTGACGCAGTTCGAGATGTTTTGTTCAGACTTTTGCGACTTTATGTTCAGGGTTTTGACATTTGTGTTGCATCCTGCGATACTCACAAGTCGCGGACTTATTCTTATTGTTATAAGTCAGGATTTGCACGCTCGACTTGGTTCCATTCGCAAAACTGAACCAAGCTTTTTTGATTTTAAATTTCAAGTAACCTTCTATTGGTAAGTGTCAAATAGCAGTCAAAATCTTCTCATAAAAATTTAGCCTTAAAGGGATCATTCCGTACTCAAAAATTCTCTGGTCAATTCACGGCCCCTGGATGAGTCAACCTAGAGAACAGTTCCAGTGTTAACAAAACGAGCCCAGAGTTTTCAAACAACTGATTTGGACAGAAACAGAAGAAAAATCTCAAATTCATAACATGCTGGTTTGTTGGGTTTTGAAGTCCCGCACCCAACAAAAATATAAAAATCAGATCTGATCATTTTAAATTCTCAACCACTTCAGATCTTATGCGGGTATTATAATAATTAATTCCCGGGTCGAGATCCCTCTCAAAAACCGCTCAAGATATGGGCGGTTTGAGCGGTTTTCCAGCAAGATTTGAGCGGTTTGAGCGGTTTGGGCGGTTTTTTGGAAAAACCGCTCAAATCTTGCTTAAAAAACCGCTAAAAAACCGCTGTGACTCTTGCGGTGATTTTTGAACGTTTTTTCAAGCAAGATTTGAGCGGTTTTTGAGCGCTCTTATAAAGAAAACCGATTAAAACCAACAAAAAGGCCTGAAAAGGTAATGTGACGCTAAGATGCAGTTGAAATACTACCCGGGTTGACCTCCATAAACCGAAAATGCTTATCCTACAATTTCCTACATCAAATGTATGGAAAAATGCTAATCATACAATTTTCATACAATTTCAAAAAACTATTGAAAAAAGGTTGAATATAGTTTCTCCGGCTATTTGAACCAAATAAAACGGTCTCGTAATAAAAATTAACTACGTTTATTTAATTTGTAAAAAAATGGTTATCCTACAATTCAAACCGCTCATTTTAAAGCAAGATTTTGAGCGTAATTGTCTAAAAAAACCGCTCAAACCGCTCAAATCTTGCTTCAAATTAGGTGAAAAATCTCGACTCAGGAATAGTTTTTAATCATAATAATTAATAATAATCAATAGTAATAATAATTGCAGGTATGATGCATGCTTCAATTACTTATGGGCAGACTTGATTCAGCTCTGATGCTCTGATATGAAATCGATCAATAATCCAGACCTGCCCAAGGCAAGACTCAGACATGTCCATATCTGGACCAAACCTGATACAGCTAGCTCCAGTTGTTAAATTGTAGCCGAAAATTTAAAGCATGAGCTACTCACAATTCATATTCGCCATAGTAGTTGTCTGTAGTTGAGATGGTAAGACAGACTCTGAAACAAATTTTAGCTAGCTACAATGGTTATGGAGAAGACGATTGAGATCAAGTTAAGATCTTCCACCCAGAAATTACTTCAGACTAAATATGCTAAGCGCCGCATGAAAAGTGCTCGATTTTGATTGGCTGAGAATTCCAGCTAAGAACAAATTTACACACCACCCCAACCCAAACTCTCGGCGAAAGTTGACTGAATAAAAAAACCACAACGAGCATAAATATTCCGTTTTCTTCAAAAGCCAGAACAAAAATGAAGCAATGAAGACAAAACTTGCTTAAAAGTTAAGCAGAACGAAAAAAAAGTAATTTGTTTAGCAATACTCGGGCCCAAAATAATACCCTAGAAACGGAGCTTTTTCGACCCTTCTTAGTCAGTCGAAGCTAACAAAAACTACGCTGAGACTACAAAACATTGCCCAAAAACTACGGTGCCAAAAACTACAAACAATAATGCAAAATATATTTAATCAATTACTGACAAAATTATATCAAAGTTAGTCTCTTACGTAGCTCAAAAAACTTAAAGAAGAGTGTATTCTCCAATTTTTTGTAAAAACTAATTATGTTTCATTTGATAGGCAAAAAATGTTGCTTTCACTAAAAGTAACTTGCATCTCGTTTTAAAAAGAAATTTTAAACGTTTTGCGCAAAATTTTTGGAGATCAAAACTTTTCCTAAACTATGTTACGCTAAGAAAGAGGCTCATTTTGATATAATTTTTTCAGTGTTTAACTTGGTAGTTTTTCAGTAATCGTTTCGCATAATTTCTGATTTTCTAAAAAAACCAAAGTTGATCCGTCTTGCAAAACAAATTGCATTATAATTGGTTATAATTCTAAGCAAGTTTTGACATGCTTGTTTTTCACGTAAAGTTAATCCAGTTTGAGAAAAACGCGTTTTGATTATCAAGCTTGATGCGTTTTACCCGGTTAATATGAATCAGGACTCTAAAATTTTGGTCTGTTAATAGATCTCAGGTTGACAAAAAGCGCTAGCCATACCTTTTCACACTTTGAAACTAGCATTTTAGACGTTCAGAAAATTTTCTGATAACTCTACGACTAGCATTTTTTTCTCAAAGGGATATTGTGTGACTACCATTTGTTTGCAGCTGAAAAATTTTGTGACTAAATTTTTGGTTCTATGAAATTTAGTGACTAGCGTTTTCTCCTTATGTAATAATCAACCAGTTTTTTGAGTTTCTCGTTAAGTTTTTGAGTTTTGTTCCCAACACAAAAACCAAAGATTTTTTCTTCTGAGAAAACCAACAGGTTTAGTGGAAAGAATCTCTAAATTTAGGAAAAATTGTATTTGAAAATTTACACTTGAAGTAAAACTCTAGTTTGTTTAGTTAAGAAGATGTAACAAGTTTGAATTTATAGCTAAATCTGATAATTGAAAAAATATTGTTGACGATTTTTTGTTGGTCAACATTTTTTTTTTAATTATCAGATTTAATTATAATTTCAAATTTGTTCCAGCTGCAAAAGCTGAAGGACTTTTTATTGCTCTCCTTCATTTCATTCATTTCAGCAATAAATTGTACACTAGAAAAACTTTCTGTACTGATCTTTATTTACTGCTTTTATGATTAATTATTTTTCAAACTTAGCATAATTTTTCATTTTGTAAATCATTCAGACCAAGTGAACTATCTCGTTCAAAAAGGAGGAGATAATTCACACGCTTGTAATAAAAAAATAGTTTTCAGCCAACTACATCTGAGCACAGTACATGCACACCTTACTGCTTAATTTTGAAACTTTTTTAGTTGCAGGTTGTTTACCACGGGAATGTTTCTTTTATGAACACTAAAAAGTATAAGTTTTGATAATTAAATTCTTTAAAATAGTTTTAAAGTCTTACTCGGGATTAGGCCAATATGTGTTTATGCTAAAGCTGCTGCTTGCTTCCCATCCTGGATAGTCAGCATCTACGATTGCCTGAAATATAGAAGTAGTTTCAACAAGGATATCAGTTTTTTTCCAAATTAGTGTCGTTTTTTTTCTGCGATATATGATACGATACAAAGATCCGTACAAAAAACTGGAGCTTGGAAATATTTGACAGTCATAGAAAAAAATGCAAATTTGACAACACTTGGTAGAAAATTGACTGAGAAAAGAAAAACATATTTAAAAAAAAATTGTTTATTCCCAAAAGGCGCTGAAAAAACCCAAATACAATTTTATTTGTTTACAACTAAGTTATAAGGGCCTCAGCTATTATAGGCCTACTCGCTCGCATTAACCGCACTAATTTAGATTAAAATCAAAAAATTTAAACTTGTTTTTTCTCGATAATGTGACAACTTTTTGGAAAATTTTGATGAGGCTCGAATGACGCCTCAAAAGGATTCAATATGATATTTTAGCCGATCCATTCCCATTATTATATGTGGGAACGATTGATTTTGCATGGAAAACAGAAAGGAAAAAGAAAAACACAACCAAAACACACCCCGAATATAAATTTCCTCCCCAGTTTTCAAATTTACGAACAATAAGAATAACTTCAATGCAGGTTAGCCACCCGGGTTGACAAAAAATGCTTATCATAATCTTTCATACAATTTCATAGAGTAAAAGTATATGTATGAAAATAGCAAAATCAGCATTTTTTCCATATATGAAATTGTATGATAAACATTTTTTCCATACGATGAAATTGTATGATAAGCATTTTTTCCATGAATGAATATTCCAAAAATTTTTGTTTCGAAATTTTGTGTTTCAATCAAAACACTAACCAAGGATTTTTTGTCATGAGAAAATCCAGAGAGTAACTGGCAGTTACCACGCAGATAAACTGCATATGGTGGTTTCAGCCGAAAAAATTAATTATAACTTTTTCACATAGAAATATATACAAAAAAGTAACTTTTTGAATATGGCTAGATATTTTTGAGCTTGAAAATTATGATGGTTGACAAAAAAGCTGTTTTTTTCACAAATTTTTTTTTATTTTAGCAAATCAAACAAAAAATAATAATCGTGTTTACAAAAAAAAACTTTTTCATGTGATTTTGGGTTTTTTGGGTGAGAAACGCATCCTGGACTACGTTATAAACAAAAAAATGTCAAATTTTGCATGCAAATTTTTTTTTTTTAAATTTTTAATTTTAGCACAAAAGCAAATTTGCAGCCAAAAGAGGGATTAAAAATTTTCTACCTCAAATTTTAATTTTTGTTTATGAAAAAAAATGCATATCATACAATTTTCATTATTGACAACTTTATGACAAGCATTTTTCTGACCAAAATTAAAATTATGTTTTTGATTGTCAATATGCCCTCTATCATAGATATTCTTGTAAATCTATTTAAAGTTACCCAGAGATGTTTTTTGGTGGTTTTTGAAAATTTTATTTTTTCTATGACAAAATGACTATATTGTAATTTTCATACATGAAAATTGTATGATAAGCATTTTTTATAAAAAATTTTAAATCATTTTTTCAATGACCAGAAACCTTCAAAAGAGGCTATTAGACCAAAAATGTTAATTAAAAACTTTTAAAACACTTTTTAAGTTTTGTATTTATTTTCAATGATAAGCCTTTTTTCCATAGACTTCATATAAGAAACTGTATGATAAGCATTTTTCTTCTATGGGCGCCAACCCGGGCATCTTGTTCGAATAAAGTTGACTTTGCTCGGAAGTTTGAAATTTTGAAAAAAGACATAAGAAAAACCTGAAACATATTTCTGAGCATTAAATAATTGCACTCAATACTCTAACTTCAAACATTTACTTGAAATTTCCTAAGCAATCAAAACGAGACAATTAGTAATGGCGTATCTTGACACCTCGATTGAAGTTCAAAAAATACGGCCTGAAAAATATGCTCATATATGTTACCGAAGTTTTTCAGTTAAATTTTTTTTTATTTTTTTTAAGAAACACTGAAATGAGAAATTCTGTCCGCGAATAACTTTTTCTGTATTGTTGAATCTTCCTATTTTGATCTGATTTTAAAATAAAAGAATAACTTGCATAACTTGTATTTTAATATTGGAGGAGTTTTCACTTATATTTACTTTATTTTGCCACAGGAACCCACAGATCTCAATAAATTAAAAGGGCCCTGAAAACTCAAGTGATCGTTGCTGAGTGCAACTTTCTTAGAGGTATTTCCCGCATCCAAGTTTAGGCGTAAATAATCGATTATAACGGATTATTATGATGATTTTTTGACAATTATAATTGATTATAATTACCAAAATTAGGTCCTTAAGAGATTTATAATTGATTATAATCGTGATATTTTCCAAGCGATTATAATCTCTTATAATCGATTATAATTGATTACAGTTCTTACTAAAAACCCTTAAAATCAATTATAATCGATTATAATCGATTATAATCTCTCATTTTGCCGAAATTTTGCGATATTCGAATTATATTTTATGGGTTATTAATTTTGTGACAGTAAGAAAATCTCTAAAAGAGAGATCTCTTGAACACTTTGGTTCATCTGAACACAAAGTTTTACCACGAAACAAAAGTTTCATAGAGATCCTTTCATATGAAGGGAAAGGTTCTCGCGGTATATGAAAAATAAATTTTCCGAATCAATCATGAGACTGAATCAGTTTGCTGATGTTTTGGTGTTTAAAAAAGCTTAAAATATGCATCACAAAACAACCCTAATGGGGAAGAAATGAAAAAAAAACTTATAATTTTGAATCAATTGGAAAACTTTTAAAATATTTTTTTCATTTTTTATAGAAACCAATGTCCACAAAAAGCATAAAATATAAGCGATTTAGATGCAACTTCGAAGACAAAAATGGACAAACAAAAGGGATTATAATCAATTATAATCGATTATAATGGATTTTTGTGCAAAAATAATGAAATAAAAATATGAATAAAAATAATGGATTATAATCAATTATAATCGATTATAATTTTATCGAAAAATAGACGAATAAAAAATCGATTATAATCGATTATAATTGATTATAATTGATTATAATTTGATTTTAAAAAGAGTGATTATAATCGATTATTAATTGAATAAAATCGATTGTTTCTCAATTTTAGTGAGACTGGTACTAAAATCGTAATATAATCGATTATTAACGCTTGAAACTGGATGCGGGTTATAGAGCGAAAATCTTTTGTTCGAGTTTTGATTTGAAAACTAATTAAATTGTTCAAAAAAACTAAGAAATTGTTAGAATGGTGCTTAACCCATGTTTCGAACTCACGGCCAAAATTAGGTTTGTTTCGACTAGATATTTAAACTGGATTTTATTGCCTTCGAAAAAGTTATAAAGCAACTCAATAATCCAAGTTTAAAAAATTGTTTTTGGATTAAACTGAAATGAATAGAAGCATGAGAATTTAAAATATATGCTTGCTTATTAACCATGCAAATCCAGTGCGGGGAGAAAATACTTACAAAGAATTGGTAATGGGTTTCTGGTGCAAGCCCTTTGATTCGCACCGTCTTGGAGTTAGTTCTGGGCGTGATTAAAAAATGATTGTTGCCATCGATGACCCTGATTCTCGAACCCCCTTCAGTCAATATCCGCACCTGGCCACTGTCGCATCCAGATGTGATATCAACAACTGAAAACACAACAATATCAACCAGAATAACCGAGTCCAGATTTGAGAGCAGCCGTGGCCGAATGGGTACCCGTTGTAGAGTCTCGTGGATAATAATCGATTATTTTGGATTTTCATTGTCAGCTTCTATAAAACTCAACACTTGGGGATAGAATAAACTGGGGGAGTGGGGAAGAGGTGAACTTCTACGGAGTAGGTTTTAGAAAGTCGAGTAGGTCGTGAGTATAGCCGAAGTTGTTGACAGTTTTGCAAGTAATTTTGCATTAATGATATTGAGATTAGAATCCAGAATAATACATTTTGATGGATTTTAGTGGACTGAGAATTTACGGAAATGATCGATTATAATGGCAATATAATCGATTTCGTGGTCTAAATTCGCAACAAGAATGGATTATGATGACAATTTTTTAGACAACATTTTTCCATTTTAATCAAAATTTTTTCATGAAACTCCGGTGTTTGTGAGACCTGCGTCCTGCGTTCGGTCATTCTGTCGAACATCTCATCTTTTTCTACCCAAAAATTTTTAGGTTTCGACTATGTTCGACCGACAAATTTTAAAAAAATCAAATTCGACCGTGGAAAAGTATTTTGACTGTGTTCAACCGAAGAAGAAGTTTTGATCTAGTTAGACTGAGTACTATTTTCGACCGTACTATTTCGACTGAGAAAAAACGTTTCCATCCTGTTCGACCGAAGAAAAACAAATTGACCAAGTTTGACCCAATTGATAACTGCTTTGACAATACTCGACCAAGCAATTTGTCAAAAGTAAAGTTATCGCTTAATAGTATTTCAACAAGTGTAAGTTGATTCTTGATCCCCGTGTCGAGCATGTACGCGTTTTATATCCAGACTTTCCTGGCCAAATTTTGGCATATTCAGATTTTCGGGGCCAAACTTTGGCAATTCCAGACCTTCGCGACCAAAAAGATCCGGCTGGAGTTTGTGTATGCACTCTTTCCATGGTAAAGTGATCCGGAATTGTTGTTTCGCAAAAGATATCAAGGCTACAAAGCTCTACTACATCTGCGCCGAAAAAAATAAGAGGTAAACTCTCTTGCTTTTCAATTTTGTGGCATAAGGGCAAAACAATTTATAAAAAGCAACTAACTTCAAGTCCTAAATCCACATTTTCAACTGACACTAATAAGAGTCAAGGTTCGATGACCCTGATTCTGGAACCCCCTTCAGTCAACAACATCGAGGCATATATATGTTGCACGCAACATATATATATGCCACGACGAAAAACGACAAAAAGTGTTCAACATTCAAGAAAGACAGAAGTGATATGACTTAACCACATGAAAGCGTAATTTTGAAATTATTACTCTTGACAACTGTTATTAGCTCTTGGAACAAAACAAGGAAACTACTTGAATAGAAACATTTGAGATAAAACAGGCACCACTATATTTCGAATTTATATGGCACTCAACTTTTAACAGACCTATGATTTGATAGAAAGATTCTCTGCTTTACATCAAAACAATTTGCCCGAGAATATTTTGTAATCGCAAAAATTTGAAAAAGATGAAGGTGTTTTTTTGGTTGATTACTACTTTCAACGGTTTACTTAAAACTTAAAATCATGATTACGTCAACAGTTCGGGTTACTAAAGTAGCTTTTCACGTCCTCCTTACATGGAAATAGTTTTTTCTCTCTCTATTATCAGGGAGACATATACAAATATCTACAGCTCTGAATCTTTATTTGTTTTTAATGCTTGAAATTCAAAATTTTAAAACTAATAGGGTTCTCATTTCGTCTTACTTTGAGATTTAAGTAGAAACTGAAATTCGTCACAGCAGAACCAATCAACACCGCAACAACATTCGACGGCTCAACAACAGCGCCAATAACTGCGAACAACACAACTGACATCCATTTTAACGACAGAATTCCCACAAAAAGTACGCGTAGCAGCGCAAAATTTTAGTGAAACGACTGGAACGACTCCTCAGCCAAATTGACAAAACCATCGTAGAAGAGGAAACCCCCTTTGAGTTGGCAGAATTAAAAACAGAAACTTCTTCACTTCTAAAGCTGCTTGAGGAATCGACGACTTACCTAGTCGACCATTCGACAGAAGACTCACAGCCAGATGACCTCATGTCAACATTCACTGGAATTGAAGACAAATCAGACGACATTGTCCATGAGTACAGAAGACTAGTCAAACGAAAGATTGCAACAGACGCAACTTCTGTAGCAATCAGCAGCGCCCAATCCGACAACCGAAGTGCATCCTTTCTTCAAACTGCTTCTAGCAATCAAATCTCCCTTATCGAATTCAGCGGCAACTGAACAAAAGTCACTTCGACTCAACAGCAACAATAGACAACAGTCAGAATATGCCAAACAATCAATAGAAGCATGCTACAGTTATTCCGCAACCGAATTGTTTTGCCGCATAACCGTTTTCTCTGACCAATTTCACGCCTCAGACTCACATTAACAAAGCAACTTAAAATGGCAAAAAAATATAAAGAGCAACAAACTTCAAGTCTCAAGAGCACATTTGCAGCTGATTCTAATAAAAGTCAAGGCTGTCATTGTACTTTGATTAACAGTAGCATGGCGATGGGGATGCGACCGCCTTCTCTTCCCTGAAATCTGGTTGCCAAATTTTTCTAAAGGGTCTCCCCTTTTGTGTATTTTAACGAGAACCAGTTATGGCTGACCAACCTCAAAATTTTTCTACAGGCGCCTTTTGCTCCAATAAAACCAATTTCAGAGCGCGCGCCGCAAAAAAAACGCATTTTTTTCAACATTTTCTAATTGCCGAAAAACGCGGCTCACAAAATTGTTGACAAAACAGGGTCCTTATAGTAATTTCGGAGTGCTCAGAAAATCAAATGGTAGACCTACAAAAAAATTCTGCAAAATTTTCAAAATTTTTCAAACCCTCCGCCCCCCCCCCTAGAAAAACATCTGTGCAAGCCACTGGTTGTACTATGGTACTGATGACGCATTAATGCATTAAAACAACAATTTGTCTACTTAAGAATTTTGCGTGCAGTGTTTTGGGTCTTTTTTTTGGAACGAGAAAAATTGCTTCACATCTTAAGATAAGAATTTTTTCACAGACTCCTTTAATAAATTCGTACGATAAGCTTTTTTTTCATAGAATTCATTGATGGAAATATGGTAAACACGGTATGATAAGCATTTTTTGCGCATGGAGGTCAAAAAGCACTGATTATGGTTTGGCTCTAAACACCGACCTTTTGCTGTCATCAACTGGATTATTTTGGTTGATTTGATTTAGAAACGAGATCAGACCTGTTGGAGCTTCTGGGTAGGTGTACGCGTCTGTGACCATGGGCAGCCCTTTCAGTGTTATTCCGTCATAGGTTACATGAGCTGTCAACATGAAATCGTAGTACTCCCCCGGTTGAAGGTTGTCAATAGTGTAAGTTCTCTGCCACGAAGCAAGACTGCAATCAAAACAAGCTTGGGCTCCACTAAAACGAAAACAAAAATAAATTTTATGAAGGAACAATAAAAATTATGATTTTTTTAAAATATTAACATCATGAAATTCAGCTTGCGTATGATTTTTTTCCTTTCGGTTTTGTGGATTTGCTTAAAAAATTTTGTTGTTTCCTCGGGTAAAAAAAATCCATTTAGCTTAGCAAAAGCCACATCATTCAATTGAACATTAAATTATATCGCAGGATATATCATAACACAAACCAATTCAGTCGAAAACTTGCAAAAATTTTTTCAATGCCGAAAAAAATTAGTAGACTTTTTTGTGATCAGTATAATTTGTGGAAATTAAAAGATTGCACTTAAGTATAAGACTTAGTAAAGCTGCACACACAAATAAATCGAAATAATAATCGAACATTTTTGATTGAGTTTAAAAAAATATGCAAATTTAGCAGCAACAAACTTGTTTTCAAAAAATTTATAGCGTTTCTGAGAACTAAAAAGTGCAAAAAATCAAAAAGACATCTGAAAAACAGTGAGAAAAGAATTAAAAACGCTTCTCATTTTTTTCTCATACTGGTCATACTTTTTACTACTTTGAAATAAACAGCTCAAGCTTCTAGGCATTAGTATGTAAATTCCAAGCATTTCCTCCTTGCAATGGAGTTCCTTGAATAATTATCGATAATATTGTCATTTTATTGTCAGTATCGATAAAATTATAAAAGTAATCGATTATAATCCATCAAAAATGGATTTTAATCCTAGTACTTTTTGTTTATCAATATAATTCATAATAATCGATTATCATCTATTATAATACATTAAACTTGGATTAATATCATCATATTTATTTAATCAAAATAATCCATTATAAACTATTATAATCGATTATAAGGTATTTTTGAGAAGAGTTTATGAACTTTGCAATTTTTTTTCGAAAGTTATCTCCTTTTTTGTTTCATGCAGTTGCTATGTATTGCGGTTCCCAAGTTTTTACTTTTCTCACAAAATTTTATTTTATTTATATTTTCTCTACTTTTTCTGTACTTTGCGTGAACTCCACCACCTCTTTTGACAACCCTCTTCCTCAGTTTAACCCTCCCCCCCCCACAGTTTACCGCTCGTCAATTTACCCGCGCTCCCTCCTCCAACCCAGCAGTTTACTTCTCCTCAGTTCCCCACCCCTCCACCTATCTTAGTTTAAAACCTCCTCGTTTACTGAATGTGGTCGGAGTAAAAAGAAACATGGGGTAGAAAAAAAATTGGGTGATGGGGTTAAATTGGAGAGTGGGGGATAAACTGTAACTTGGGGGATTGGCGTTGGGGTTGGTGGTAAACTTAAGTAAACATGGGGGTGGGCGTAGGGATAAACGTAGGGGAGTGGTTTATGTGCGGGTGGTGAATGTGGATGGGGGGTAAAGTTAGGGTGAGAGGGGAGTTAATTTGAGTTGGTTTAAGTTGCGAGGGGGCCGTGGTAGAAATGTTACGTGGCAGAAATGATTTTGCAAGATAACCTTAAGATTTTAATCCTTAATAGTCAACTATAATGAATTAAAATGGACTTTAATCCATTATAATGGATTTTAGTTGATTGTGTGTATACGAAAACAATCGATTATAAAGACAATATAATCGATTTCTTGGTCTAAATTTGCACCATTTATGGATTGTACTGACAAAAATTTGGAAAACAATTTGTCATTAAAATCCATTATTATCTATGAATTTTCGTTGCGGGTCAATACTAAGAACCCGTACAACAAGCTTTTTCTCCTAATGTGAAATTAAAAAAGAGTTTTTGATTTTAGTTTTTTTTTTCGTGATTGCCTCAAAACACAACAATACTGCTCAAATCAGGGCAGAGCCCTGATTGTTCTGACTGCCTTTTGAGGTCTAAGGGGGCGGTAATAATGTGAAAAAAAAGAAATGGAATAAACTAAATTGAAATTTGAGATTTTTTTTTCAAAACAAATTCCAGCAGGACAAGTGATAAATTACAAAGTGATAGATTGCTCTGCTAGTAGCAAATCAGTGATGGCGAAAAAGCATCCTTTAACCAATTTGAAACATTTTCTAAGACGGATTAAATCTGCGCTTAAATATGTCGATTAAATATGTCTGGTTAAAAAGTCTGAAGCAAATTGTCTGAAGAAAAAACCACCCGAGCACAATCATTTGAACATAGAACTGTGTTTGCGACTTCTGATTCTTTCGGATTTTTTTTCTTTGACCTTGACAACCTTGAAAATCGCCCTATTTTATCAGCTATTATTCATATAAGCGCTCCCTGAGACTTTGCTCAAAAAAGAATGCCTCAAATTGAATAAAGTAGCAAAAAGATGGTTTTCAAATACAAACTATTTTTATCAAATTTTTGTTGTGCTACTTGCATAGTGAAAAGGGTAAGAAAAATGAGTGTTGATACGACGGCGGATAACGTATATTCTGCTAAATAAATGGGCAGATGCCGATTAGAATAGGTGTCGATTAGTAAGCCCATATACAAAAAGTGCAGTCGATTTGCTCGCCAAAACCAGATGTGCTGACTCAAATGCTCGCAGCAGATAAATTTTGAATCTGATCAAAAAGCAATTATTTCGAAAGAATTTGTGAGTTGAAAATAGTGGTAGGTTTTTTTCGGGTACAGTTAAGTTTATGTCATCATATAAACACAAAAAAATTGTTTTTCTGACTTCACGGGAAGCTTGATTGTGATTTTTAATTTTTCTGTGTTTCTTCTGTGTTGAGGGAGAAGTTTGATAAAAAAACGGTTTCTTTTAGCGTATATAAAAACTGAATTATTCTAGCGATTAAAATGGCATATAAAAATGTTTTTCTCATTGTTGGTTTTGGAATTTTGTCATCAAAGAAAAAAGGCTAATCAAAAATGGAACTTTTAGGGAAATGAATTTTCGTACGCAAAACAAATTCTATTTTTTGACAAAGGATTTCTGAATTTTTGTTTGAATGGAACAGATGCTTATGATACATTTGTCATAAATAGATATTGTATGATAATGAAACATTTTCCATAAGCTCTATCATTAGAATTGTATGGATAAGCATTTTTTCTACAGAGAGCAACCCGATCTGGTTAAGCCACTAGTTATACCATGAAAATGATGCTTAAGTGATGCTTATGGAGATCACCATCCCTAAATGGTTAAATTACTAACACTCCGAGCTCGAATCCATGGAAGAATCCAGCAGCTGTCCACTTGATGGTGACCGACCTCGTAGTGGAAGTCCAGTGTTCCCCATCCGGAATGGGCTTCTCAGGGTATGTGATCTCTTCAGTGTAGTACTTCCTGACTACCGGAGTCTCGCCCTGGCTGTAGGCTGTGATGTTTATAGTGTAGAACACGCCCCCTATCACACACAGAAATAGTCGAACACTCCGGTATTATAAACGGTATCATAAAATCTATTTTGTTTTATAATAGAAACGGTATTATAAAACAAAATAATAAAAAATTTTGATTAAAAACAATATTCAAGCTAACCATCAGAAAAAGATATTCAAAAATTTTGGCAATGAAAGAAACTTTAACTAGCTGCACGTTTCCAGGTGATAGAAAACGGGATTTTGCAAAAAATTTCTACTAAAACAAGAGCGTCTACTTTTGGAATGATCTTGTACTGATTGAATAAGCAAGTTTTGAATTTACAAAGTATCTGCAACGTTAAAAAAACAAAACTCTTAAAATACCTTTTTGTTATTGTTTTTTCTTTCAAGAGCTTCAATATTTTTGCTTGAATGAAAAAAAAATTGAAAACAAAAACCAGCTTTAAATAATAGACCGAGAAGAAAGAATCATCTAGGAACACCACTCGACAGGCTTGACAACCTTCATGATGATTTCTCGAAGTACTTATAACAGTTGATTTTAAAATAATTGATTTATAAATACACGCAAATTTAAAAAAAAATTTGAGAGTTCTTGCCTTGTAACATGAGGTTTCCGGAGGCGTGGTGAATGTCCCACACTTGAGAGAGTTGGAAGGGGAAATTGTACAGGCGGGGCACCACTCGTGTGCCTCTGCTGTCGATGAACACCTCGTGTTGCCATCCAACACCCGAAGCCGTGTTGTGATAGATCTGCAATGAAGTCTCGTTCAAAAAACAATCATGAAAAAAAATTTTGAGGTCTTTTATATTGTATGGCCCAAAATTGCCAGGTTAGTAATTGAGCTTCCGTTTTGGATAAAAAATCTAATTTTTATTATTTTCAACCCATCAAAGTTCAGCATTTAGAATTAATTTTCGAGATACCAAAAAAATTATCAATTTTGGGCTGTATAACAGAAAAGACCCACTTTTTTTCGAGCCGGATACTTGAATCCAAACATTGCTTGAAATTGTACGTTTACATTTCAGTTCGGCTCGGGATAACAGTAAAATTCATCAGCATGTCACGTTGTGTTTAAAAAAATTTTTTTTTGGCTCGGAAGGTTTCGGGAATGTTCACATAGAAATAAGTGAGCGGGAAAGTCACGCCCTAAAATTTTTGCGGTTTCCAAGTTACAATAACAGATGGAGCACTCGAAATTTTCTAATTTTTTTCAGGGTCTAATGCATAAAAATTGTTAGAGTAGAAAAACAGATGGAGTGTATGAAAGTGAATTGAAATTTATGTCAAACTTTATATCATGTAAAAAAGCAGAATTGCACTTTTTTTGAATTTGAAGGCGGATCCAGGCGTCTACAAGAACAGTGATTAGAAAGGACAGATAGCCAGATATTCAAGAACAAATTAGCAAACTCTTACATAAACATAAACTGTACCCCTATGTCATAGGGACACTCTACAAAATTTAAACCAGTAGTATGAATTTGAAGAACTCAAATAGCATCTGTAGATAGATAAATAACTCTTGTTAATTTTGTTTTTTAACAGTTTTTTAAACAATTGAGTTTTTAGGCTTTTCTAAGCCTACCCGGGTTCGCTCTTCGATTTTCCTTACTCTCATGCGTCGCCTTCTTGGATCCGCCGGATCATCACAATCCCCATTTCGTTAACCGCTTTCTGTGCTCGATTTGAATTTCGTGGTGGCGTATCGCTGCTCACTCTTGCCTCCGATATCGCTGCTCCTGCCTCCTCATGCGTGCCTTCTTTCTCATGTGACCGAGTTTCCGGAGCTGTTGGTGTTGGTATCTTCATACTTGCCGCACTTGACGGCATTGTGCGTGGTTTGTCCACTGTGTCAAAATCATCGTCGCTGGATTAGGCGATTTTCCCTTACTGGTTTTTCTCCGATGTCGTGTTTTTCGAAAAGGTTGCTCTCTTCGCTCGCGCTCTTCCCTCGTTCTGGACCGACGGTTTTTCAGCGACTAGCGGCAAGCCCACCGTCATATCTTCTGTACATTTTCCGCCGCGCAACTAATGCAGCCTCTGACTCTGGCTCGTATCTTAACGTGACACCGCTTCTTCTCAACAATTAGCCGTTTTTCCTTTTCTCAATATGTGGCGTGATTTTTTCAACTGTTTGGTCATTTTTTTAAATATCTGGCTGGGTCTTCAGGGTCCGTAATTACAGTTTACTGTTAGACGATATAGGTTTCCTTTGGCGGCTTTGCTTTTTGTTGTCGCAGCTCTGAAGGTGCTTTTGGATGATCGAGCTGAATGTCTCTCTCGGTAAAAAATTTTTCGTCCAGCATTCTAGGGCCGCGTCTATTTTGTGGAGCCATCATCAGATCGCTTCATTTGTCCAACTCCTCCATTTTGAATCGGCTCTACCGCTCGCTTCGTCAAAAGAAGGCAGTTTTTGGTTAATTAGTCTGTTCTAGTTAAGATTTTTCAGACTTGGTCGTTTTTTGTTAGGTTTCCCAACACCGTGTTCACGTCCCGATGCGAAGTTTGTCTTACTGTGCGGGACAAATCTCAAAGCACTTAATGCCCTGATTAGATATGAACCTGAGGCTTAAACTTTTGCTCGGTACAATCTGTAAAATAGGTCATAACGTAGTTGCAAAGAGAACCAAAAATTCGCTCGATCATGCCAGTTACCCTGTGATCGCGAACCGGTGATTTTATTAATTATGTATTTTTTTCTCATAAAATTTTAATTTTGATTGAGAAAAACCGGTAGGCCTGCTCCATGTACAAAATTATGGGATGTCCGTTCAGAGCGATATAGTTTTTTCCGAAACTTTACGACCGCCAATGAGAAAATACATCTACCGCTACAAGAAGGTTCCTCTTCCTTTCACGTAATTAATTAACCCTCAGAATTCCAATCGATCCACTTTGCTGTCACCCTCAGGCTATATCAGATTTTAGATTTCTGCCTGCTTCCAGGCAAGGTTTGCAAAACTTGGCTGTCGCTGCCAAGTTCCTGTGTATCATGGGCATCCAGATGTCCTCAGAAGCGGCATAATTTCTTCGTGGCCGTGGCTGTATTAGAGTAATCGGTTCATGGTCGGGGTCGCCAGCGCCTTCGGTATTGCGAGTCTCCCCCCAATCTACAGGCAGATTTTTTGATCGCGAAGTCCGGAAAATGTTGTCCATAGTATTGACCCAGGTTCGTAATTATCTCTTTGTCTTTTAAATTCTGTTCCTGTTTTGCGCTCCGTTTAATTTCTTTTCCCGTTTGCCCGTTTTACACTTTTTTAAGTATGGGACTTTTTCAAGGTTTGTTTCTACGACCGTTTGCTTACAGCCACCTCACCATCTTACTGTTTTTTGGGATCATTAAGTAGATCCAGTGTCCGTGTTATTGAGGGTGTAAGAAAGGCCCGGGTGTTTTGAAAGAATTTAGTGGATTGTACTCACTTTCCTACAAGAAGTAGATTTGTTGGGCAGTTTTTCTTGTGGGATAACCTCTATGTCCGTATCAGAGCTGGCTAATTGAGCCAAAGGTTGAAAATGGAGTTAATGAATTGCTTAATACCACGTTCAGATTGACGTTTTCTGATTGCGTAGAAGCACTACAATGGCAATACTTTCATCCGACTTGTCCAGAAAAGATGTAGAGAACTGTTTGGTCATTTTTTTCAGAAATTAACTCTGATTATTGTACTGAGAAGAAATTGATCAGCTAGATTGAAACTCTGAAATGAAGTCTGATTTTTTTTGCTATCGCTTTGTGCGTAAATTACGCGATAGGTAAATATCTTTCGTGCAATTGGCTGATTTTTAATCGCAAGACAATTTTGCCCTCGGTCGTTATTTTTTACTGGATGCATTTGCATATTCAGCTAATTGTGGATTCCCCTTGGCTGAAGCGTAATTGCATGATTTTCTGCCGCCCTTCAGTTTCGGCAAATTTTGGTTCGAAATTATTTTTCCCCTCAGTTATTCTTTCCTTTTTGATCACCCTTTGAGGAATTAATGAATGGTTCATCATTTTAATTTTGGCATCAGTGAATGTAGAATCATAATGGCCTGTGGGGGCTCATCGGCTGAAGGTTACCTCAACAAATAGTGTGCCATCAACATTTTTGATCGTTGGCAATGTTCTTTTTTAAAACCATAAGGTAATAAACCATTATACCAACTGTTTAACCTTTTAAAAATGTTTTATTACCTTTCGGTGATGATTTTAATAACGTTAGTAATGCTTTGTGGTCTGAAATGGGTAGGAATATCGATCGAAAATGTAGTTCCGGTAATGTTCTGTAGTCCATACAACAGCTAGTAGTTCAAACTCGTTCGATGAATACTTTCATTTGGCTGAGTTGAAGTATCTTGATGCGGATGATGATGGTTGCTCTAATACATTGGCAACTAACCAGTTAGGGGAATCGAACGCCGTTGCGCATTCTTGTGTCCAAATGACATCTTTATTGTGGCTCAGTAGCCGCCTTAGAGGGACCTCTTTTCCGCTAGGAATTTGTGTAAGCTCTGTAGCGACCTCGATTGTTTCTTAATTGTTTTCTAGTTCGTGCCGCTTTAGTTTGGCTTTTGCTTTGGTTTTCCGTTTTAGTGCATAATTCCGGTATTTTTTGGTTACCTAGCCATTGGCAACTTGTTTTCGCAAAACTGCTGTTTCGGATTTTTAGCAAAGCGTTCGCTGTGGAGTTTGTGTTAGATTTTCTTCTCTTATGCAATTGGGTTTTTTGTTTCCCGCTGAGACGATCAGGATATCATTCATGCAGGTGCCTGCGGGAATTCTTCTGAAAGAATGTCCATCACTCTTTGAGGCTCTGCGGGCATCGTGGTTAGTCCCTAAAAGCCATTCTTAAAACGGCAAGTCTACGTAGACATTCCCCCAAATATTGAGAAGTTGCATTGGTTGCTTGTTTTTGATTCTAATGCAACTTGCCCATACGCTACGTAAAACCAAGCAATGGAAAATAGACTTCTCTTTCAGATCTTTTGCGATTATTTGTTCTTTTCCGTCCATTAACTATGTTAGGCATTTGATACTTCTTTTTGTGTAATTATTTGGAGAATTCCCTTGACTCTTGTGCCAATTTTATGCTCCCGTTTCTTACTATGATTACCTTTGGGGACTTAAAAAACAATTATCCGATCGCTCTTCGAGTTCAACCGTGTGTCCCTCCTGCATTAAAAGCGTAATTTCCTTATCTACTATAACCTGTATACTTATGGGTACCATACGGCTCTCTTTTGCACCAGTTATTATAACGTAAGAGAAGTCTGCTCGTACCTTGGCATTATGTATGCGCCCTATTCTGGAAAATAATTACAACTTGTCATCTCCCTCTCCACTGGTTAGTATGGGTCCCACGGTTTGCCCTATCAAAATTTCTGATTGTTCCGAATGAATCTTATGTCACCTTCTTTGTTAGGTACTTATTGATATATTCGAGTGTGAAATTAGGTGCATCGCAATAATTGAATAAAAGAATTTCATGATCAAACAGTGACTGCACTATCAGTAACAATTTTGGCATCATTCATGACAGTTAATGTCACGTGGAAAAGTAAAAGGATGATATAACTTTTTCGGATTTAAGCTCTGATTTAAAGTTAAATCACGACATTTGCATAAAAGTTCTGCAGATAAGATCGATTAAAAAATGAAGGAAATGATCTAAGCCTTTATCTAACAAAACTCACACAGATCTTGACAGAACAGTTTACAAAAAGTTGTATGTGAAAAACGAAGAAGAAAAAAAGATCATCCGATTGATAGCCAATTTAAACTAAGGCTAAGGAAACAAAAATTTGAGTTCGAAAATGGATGGACTACTCATCCAAGGAGAATTGCAATGGCTTCAAAACCTATAGAAACAACGTGGTTAAACGTGCAAGGGAGAAAAAACGCAGTTTCGATGATAGATTAATCAAGAACAAAGAAGAACAGTATACAATTTTTGACTCTTTTAATCCTATCTGCGGAACAAAAAAGCAAAATAATTTTGACTTTGACCTAAGTGATTCCATTGAACGCTTCGCTTTTATTGGAGAAAAACTAACAGCAAACTTTGACCACGTTTGCACGGGCCAGATTTTGTTGCCAACGGGAAAACTTTTGTGCTGCATATTACCAATAAATACGAAGTCCTGAAATAACTCAAAAAAGACGAACAACAAATAACCAAGTTTTCATGATGGCATATGCAGAAAATGTCTTAAACTTTATAACCCGGTGCTGGCTGGCCATTTAGCGTCTTTTTTCAATGACTGCTGCCAGAAAGAATGTTTTCCTGATTTTATCAAAAATTCATTATCATAACCACTGCATAGAGATGGCAACGAAACAGAAACTAATTATTATTGACCAATAAGTTCGTTGTCTTCTGTGGGTAATCATTTTTAGAAAAAAAATTATAAAAAGTTTGTCCATATTTGCTGCTGAAAATAACTTGATTGCTAAAATCCGTTTTGGATTTCAAAAGATAAATTTTGTACGCATGCACTTTTGTCCATCACAGATGATATCAAGGAATCAATTGACAACAGAAATTTTTTGGTTTTTCTTGCTTTAATGATATAAAAAATTTATTTGACACCGTCGATCTGGACAGATTACCAAAAAATCTTCCGAATATTGGCTCCCAAAACGACAAAAGTTTTTCTGTTCAGACAAATTGATTTCTGATAACTTAGTATGTATAAAAAGTTGCTCCTTAAGGATCCGAGCTTATTCTTTTTTGTTTCTTCTTTACGTTACTGATATGCGGTCAGCCAGCAGCATTGTTTTAATTTTGTTTACATATGAGATTACCTTAATTAATGCTCAGAAGTTTGTGCTTCTAAAGAGGAAAATCAATCAGAAGTGCAGAAAGTTAGTGACCAGTGTGATGATAACGAGCTGTTATAAACCACTCGACAGCAAAATGATGGAATTTGGTCGGGTTTGCAAGCGTGCTAGCTTTCGGAACACTGTGATGTTATTGTGAAGTTTCAGAATTCGAATATTTAGATATACAGGTCGACAATCGGCTTAGTTTCGAAAAACATCTTGATTAAAATTGCGGTAATTTAGCTATATTCAATAGATTGCTTCTTAGGAATAGAGACTCTTTCTCAAAACCTTTAGTTTAGATATCTTAAAACTGCTATGCATGCCAATAAAATCGTGTGGGTTATTTGCTTATGATTCGAATTTGAAAAAACTTCTGGAAAAAATTTTTGCAATGCAAAAGCGTATTTTAAAAACTATTCGTATCAAACGCAAATTTGATCTTGCTTCATATATCTTGCAGGCATATGACCTAGATACTGTTTTCAATTACACAGACATTTTTTTTAAATCTCTAAAACAACCTAGAGGAAAAACTTTTAACTTGGATACACCGAAAATAGACGGATTACTCGAGCTTCTACAGCCAAACTTTTGCCTAACCTAGAAACGAGAACTCAATAAATGCATTGGTTATGGCAAAAGACTTCCCTTAGATGCTATAATTTTAGGCAAATAAATGATATTGTACCAGATGATTTGAAGCAGGTAATTGAGCATCAACTACAGCATTTTTTAAAAACTATTACTTAATGATACCACCAATTTAATAGATTTTTTTTGAATTGCACTGTTCAAGTCCGATATTATCTCGCAATTTTTGTCTTAGATTTTTCAAGTTTTTGCCGCAATAAGCTGTATAGTTTTTTGCATGATCCTTGTAGAGTTTTTCTGTACAAGCAATTTCTTTGACTTATTGTATGCGTATAACTCTCTCCTAAATAAATTCTTAATATCCAGGAAATTTTTGTGCATGGGGTTGGATGCAATGATGGGGTATTATTTTCTGGAGCTTGCAGTTCTGAACCACCCGAAAGTAGATCTCTGCCAGCTCTCAGTTACATTACAACCCGTTTTCCGTTTGAACTCTCGAGAAAAAGACAGCCTGAAGCGTCAGTTTTTGTAACTATATTAATCATGATTGCACAATTCACAACATAATTAGGGTTAAAGTAAATAAATATACCTTATAAATTGTTCTGCCAATCTTATACAGCAGATAACGATCTTTCGAAGCTGATACTGATCATGTGAAAAGAATTGGAAAAAAAATCAGCGCTTAATCGACAAAAAAATTGGCATTGATTGTGTCATATTGCACTCTCCCCTACTTGTTTCTTAAAATTTTTAACTCACCGTGAACTGTTTGGGAGTGTTGGGGGAGCTGGTGGTGTCGATGGATGTGACGTCAGTGAATGTGGGGTGGACCACTTCTAGGATGAGACTCTCTTTGCCATGGCTGACAGACTTCACGAAGATTGTGTACTCTGAAAATTGGGAAAAAAGAGAAAAGTTAAATGAGAGGTTGTAATTTTTTTAAAGACTATTTTAATAACCTTTGTATAGCGCAAAACCTTTACCCTTTTGTCTGTTTATTTTATCAAATAGGTTGGTTCATAAAAAATGTAAGCTGCCTCAATTAACGCACTTATGTAGTTCAATTCCCAAGATTAGACGAACTTCGATTCATTAACAAAACTTAAACTTCTATCAAATTTTGAGAACCAAAAACTTCTGTTATTTAAACTCAGCTGGCTTAAGCATTCAGAAGCAATGCAGCATTTCTGAAGGTAACGTTTCAAAATGACTACCTTTTCCCGCAACCAGCTCGGTTATGTAGATCTCTTTAGTTTTCACATCAACTTCGCAATATCCTTCAGGTAGGGTTGCACATGAGCCGTCTGCTGGAGTATTCCATATTTGGAAGGTGTCCGCGGCGCCCTCTAGTGTCCAGTTGAGGTAGAACTTCTTCTCAAATGCATCCAAGCCCCCCAAAACAGGTCTTTCCGGTGTAAGAGATTGTTCAATTGGTAGTGGGAACTGAATTTCGTGAACGAGTTGATAGAACGCTCTGAAAAAATGAAAAATTCAGTCTGCTTTCTATCAACGTCTGCTTAAGGTTAGCAAACTTTAATGGGACTTTCTTGGAAGCTAATTTGAGAAACGTTTAGAAAAAAAAATAATTTCAGATATGAATTCCAATCAGCATTGTGTTGTTGATCAGGGCAGGAGGGCGCCCTTTCTCTCTCAAGAACTTGACCCTTTCAAGTCCTAGATCCGCCAAGGGTTTGAATATAATTCAAGCTCAGAAGATAAGATTTTATAAAACTAGATTAGAAAACATGTTTACTTCAATTCGACATTGTATTTCATTCCAGGAATTAGGTCACTGAATACATGGCGTCTTCGTGAAGATGTCAAAGTGCTCATCACTGAGTCGGCTTCGAAGTCTGCAGATTGACCCCTGTGGGCTGTGTTGTTGATCTCAATAGTGTACTTGTCCTAGAAACAATCAAAGAATACGAATGGTGAAAACTACACAAATTTGCAATTGCAGAAATTTCAATTGCAAGGATGAACCTTTGCTACGCAAGCTATATCGTATTTTCTGACAAGAACATTTACAAGAACATTTACAAGAAACATCGATGCAAGAACATTTACAAGAAACAAAAATTAAAAAGTTATGTCCATTTTTTTTGCATGTCCTTGGGTTTTGAACTTGACAAAATCAAATTCAAAAAGTCAATGAGAAGGAAATTAAGAAATCTATTTGATCAAAATCAAGGAACTAACTATAGAAAATTCTGTGCGTTCGTCTTCATCTGAAGGCTCTCTCCAACCAACCACCAGCTCATTAGTCGTGAAAGACTCCACCCAAATACCAACACAGTCTGACAGTATCAGTGAGTCATCCGGGCAGCCCCTGGATACTTTTTTGTTGGGGGTCTGGTGGATCCAAATTCCTGCAGCGTCCAAATCTGAAAGGCAGTTTGATTCTGAACGATTTTTTTTCTGCTAATCAAACTTATTTCATCAAAAATCCTCAATAAATTTCTATGCACACCTTCATCTGTAGGGAAACATTTCATTGGAACAGAAAACTGTTTGAAGAATGAAGATTTTTAGTATAACCCAATCAACTATGGATAATCGAAATGCCCATCGATGCATCAAAAATTGCTAATATTGTCGGTAAATCTGTCAATTCCTACAGCCTTGTTTTTTCCCAAAGAGTCCTCCTTTTGTTTTGACTCTATCAAACCTTTTTTTGGCCAGTAAAAGAACGGTTATCCTGATTGGTTCCGCGAAGCCTTTTTTTTAAACAAAATTTCTGCCTCCAGAACATTTTTGCTGATGAATATTTCAGAATTTCCTTGACTCTTTTGCGGAATCTATAGAAAATATGTATTCACTACATGCATTTACAATTTGGCGGAATCGGTTTGCATTTGGGTGTGTTTTTTCATTTGTGTTATTTTTTTTTCTTTTGAAGCGATTTGGAGTGGAACAATGTGTTGGCTATTTGTCAGTGGATTTCACTGCTGAAAAAACATCCAACAAAACTACCCGTTTTGCGGAATCCGTGACAGAGTCGTTATCGCGCTTGTAATAAAATCCGCATAAAGGAACAGTTTGGCCTTTTGATATTGAAGATTGGCGTTACCTGGTTTTGTCTTATTTTTTAAATGCAGATCAGAAGCCAGCAGTTGGCACTGTTTAACGGCTACGTTGTAATTGAAGGATTTACAAGAAGGGTCAAAAACACATAAGCTGCCGCAGAAGTTCTCGTCAATAATTGCATCAAACTTAACGATGATCATTTCTTCTAGAATCTTCTCGTCTATGCGAAAGTACTGAGTACTTGGAAAGCTAAAAAAAATCAATTATTTGAAAAATTGAGCGAGTCTAGATGAAAATAAAAAAATTAATGATGAGAAAACAAACTTACTTTGTAATCCGCTGCTTCGCGGGTGTTTCGGCAATTAAACTGTCGCCGCATATTAGGCAAGCTCGTATCTTTTTACCCATATCTGTCAAAACACATAATAAAACTAATTTTACGAAGTCTATCATTTTTGGGCAGAAGAATCTTGTTCAATTTCTGCTTCAATGATTTATTCGCAGATGTCTTGCTCAATTTTCAGGTGCTATTAATGATCGATGAACGGCTTTTGAAAATTTTCTAAAACACAAGAAAATGGCAGAATTAGTTTGTTGACGAAACGAATAGTTCTTGCGGCAGTCAAATTTGAATAATTTATTTTTCTTTTTTTTCTCTTAGTATTGATTTTTTTGTCAACTTGTACCTTGTTCAAAACGCTGCCAGTACTTTTCTATGTTTACGTTAACATTTTTTCCATTTAAAGATTTTCAATTTATGTAGACTAATTCGGAGTGTTTGACTATTTTCATCCAGGTGTTTGATGACTTGAATAAGTGCGACGCTGCTTGATTGAATAAGTGATTCTCAAATAGATACAATTAGTTCAAGTTTTGAGCAAACTTCAGGATAAAGTTTTTAATTATTGTTTTCCCCATCCAATATTTATACAGTCAAGGAGTCTGGCGTATATCATCTTCTATTGTGACATTATCCGTGAAAAATACGTCTGCGCTGAATTATCCGATAGAATAAATTGTCCAAAATGAAGTCGCCAAAATAAAGAAATGGGTTTTCCTCATTTTTTAGTTTTTTTTTTAGGAAACTCCCAGCAACCTGCACTGAAGTTTCGTGGATAATAATCAATTATATTGTAATTTTATGGATTCTCTCCGCAAAATATTATCAAATCAATAATAATGCATTACAGCGGATTCTAATCAGGGGCGAATTTAGGGAGGGGGGACGCGGGGCGGGCCTTCTCCCTCCTCAAGGATTTGACCCCCTACCGACTCAAAAGACCCCTTTGTACTGTTTTGAGATATCCATTTTTGGCTGACGGACTCTAGAATTTTCCAAAAACAGGATCTTTTCAGTGCTCTGGGAGAGCTCGAAAAATCCATTTTGTCGATCTAAAAAAAAGGTCGACTAAATTATCGACAACCCACTCGAGATAATCCTAGATCCGCCCTGATTCTAATGTTAAATTTCTATGTCCATATAATCTAATTCAATATATTACACTCGATTAGATTATAGAATATCTTCAACAGAACATTAATACAAACTAACAGATATTTAGTTACAATCAATTTTGACAAAAAACAACATTTTTTGTGGATTTGTGTAGTCGTGGTAAATACATTTTGATTAAATTGCCAAGGAAATAATTAAAATAGTTTTTTTGTAACGCAGTCACCCGAGAAAGTTTGTTTTCGAGTGTGCTTGCTTTCGTCTCTTTTTTGTCTTTTTTTAACTTCCCTGCAAAAGATATACCACAATTGATCACCGGAACGGGTCGACCAATGTTTTCTTTTAAGACTGAGCTTAGGCCTGGTTTGGCCTTCTCATAGAGTAGCTATAGATAAAGTACACCGTCTGTTCGTCACGCTTTAAATGCTTGTTTGAACTTGTTCCAAAATTCTTGTAGTCGGTCGTGATTCCAAACCTTTTAAATAAAATCCAAAAAAAACCTCAGTGTGGAAAAAGTTTTAAAACTTTGAGTTTTGATTCAATTTCGAGCCAATAGAGCAAGCCAGAAGGCCTGTAGAACGGAAACAATTTGCACAAACTTGTTTACGCGCTCCATGAGAACCTAAGATATCGCGCGTTTATTATCCTATGTCAAGTAATTAAACTTAATTTTTTGATTTTGAGCTCAAAAGGTCCCTATCTGTCTGTTGCAGTTAAATTTTTTTTCAAAAAATGTTAGTTTAAACGCATAACTTTACAGAACCGCGAATCACAGCAACTCCAAAATTCTACTCACTTTTGTATCGGAGTGTAAAAAATTTTTCGCTAGAAAAATAGACAAGTAGGTGATACTTGAGATCCTCCAATTCAGCCAATTTTAATCAATCAAAGCTATGAAGAAAGCTTACCGCTGCTGTCTTATTTCTCATTGAACATTGTATTTATTTGATTTTTTTGAAAAGAGATGCAACCCAATAAATCAGCTGAAAGATCTGCTGATTTGAACCTAGATTAGGTGCCTAAATTTGTACCTAGAACCCTAATTAACGACCGGAGACAAACCCGCACTCACTTAAATGAGAATTTAATTTATTGTATTATAATTATAATCGTACTTTTAGCAAAATTATAATTAAGAATCAGCGCCATTACTAGATATTCAAACAATTTATAATCCATTATAGCGATAATATTTTGATGAAATTTTATTAAATTATAATCAATTATAATTGATTATAATTTCTCCTTGAATCTTCTATAATCTCTCATAATCTATTTTGATAGATTATAATCTCTTTTTTTATCAAAATATTATCTTACGAACAAAAATCAATAATAATGGTTAATAATTCAGCTATTCTGCATGAAAACACAGTAAAGTTAAATTTAATTTAAGTTTAAGCAAAAGTACGAAATAACAGATTTTTGTCCGGTAACCAACTGAAAAGCACACAAAATAAAACAAAAATAAAAAGGAATGAAGCTATAAGCTATCATTTTCTCTTTTTACTGAGTGCGGGCTTGATAATACGTCAAGTATTTATAATAATGCAAGCAATAAAAAACTTACTTTCCTCGCTACACTAATCAAAACTAAACCAAATTCCTTGTCGGAAGGCCTGATTTTACGAACTCAGTCGCATCTTTATTGACGAAATGTTTTCTGCTTCAATTCTCAGGCACCCAATTACTCTGTAGGAAACCAAACCTCATATTCGGACGAACTCCTGTCATGTACAGGCTTGTTGAGGTAACCCTTTAGCTCAAAAGATACCGGAAAATCCGCGTTTTTTTTCTTTTCTAACTCCATAAAAATTCCTCCCTCTCTCTCGTTGGTGCTTGTATAAAAATAGGTATGTTTTGTCCGATGTTAACTACGCTGACCTTGACAAACTGCGGCTGAGGAAGCGCAGCGCTGGGGTTATCTCAACATTGATCGCCGCTGACTATGCTTCCCTTTTAACACAGCACAATTAAGGCTGTCAAGTGCCGTCTGTCCCTCGTTGAACCTCCCAGGTTGATTACTGGAGAAGCCGTAGCTTAGAGCCTTGGAGTTTCAGCCTCTTTCGCGGGTTATTGCGCAATTCAATTTCTTATAATAACTTTATATCTTGCAAGAGAGAATCGGATAATATGCAACAATCTTAAATCTAGTGAAAATCTTACAAGAATCTTTTGGATTATCAGGATTTCGAAAACCGAGATCCAGTTCAGATGAATTCAAAACTTATTAGATTCCTATTTAAGCCTGGGTTGACCTCTATGGACCAAAAATGCTAATCATACAATACCATAAACTAAGTCTATGAAAAAATTCTAATCATACAAATTTCATTGATTTTGCTAAAATGGTGTCATCGAATTTCGACATTTTTTCTTGTTTTGGCATAAGCTTTGGTGTATAGTACCTAATAGAAAAGAAAAATTTTTCGTCATAAAAATCCTAATTATACAATTTCTATATATGGAAAATGTATGACAAGCTTTTTTGACGGCGACTACAAAATTTTTCCAAAATTTAAAAATTTGCCCACAATTTTTTTTCAACGGCAAAACAATATTTGTACTCAAACAATCATTTTCCAAAAAACAATTGTAAGCAAATTTTAGTTTTTGTGTGCAGAGCGTAGTAAACCTGAATACACTAAAATTTTGATGCTTTTTTCCGTTTTTATGGTTAACTTTTTTCCAAAATATTAACAACTCATATTTCTTTTGTATGGCTTGACTATGTATGCCTTGATCAATATCTGATTATTTAAAAAGTCGAACTTTGAAAATAATCATCTTTGAAAACTTCTGCCAAAATTTAAAAGTTTGATGTTTTTAGTACATGATTTGTGTAAGAAAAGTTTTATAACTGTCAGGTCATTTCCAAGGCATTGAAAAACCAAGACAGTCAAACTTTGGCTAGTTTCGATTAAACCATAGTTTTTGTCACTTGTGTTTGTTCACGGACAAATCCTAAAATCCTAAAGATTTTTGTAAAGTTCTTAAAAGAGTTTGCATTCCTATAACCATTTAAAAATTTGCTGGGTAATAAATGTCGTTCAAGGTAAAGTTCGAACATAATTTTTTCTTTTCTATTGCTACAACTTTCAAAAGTGATTAAAAACAGCGGTAAAAAACTGTTAAAAACACATAAGCAATTCTCTTTACACAGAAACGCAGATAAATATCTTGGAGAAATTTTTTTCTAAAATCTTGTAAATAGCGAAACTCTCATGTTTGCTAATACGTAGCTGAAAATCTGAAAGGTCAAAAACAATCAAGTTTTGTGTTAGAGTTTACTTGCCTGCAAGAAATTTCTATCATAAATCAATATATCATAAAGTTTAGAAAATCATATTTTGTTTTCTCCTAAAAAATCTCACATCATAATTTTTCTGATTGTGAGAGGCTTCCATCCTAATTTGTTTTTGGTTGAAGCGTTCTATATTCAAGTTCATTACAAGAGCATATGTATCGACCAATAATAATGCAGCAAAACTGGAAATCTCAATGGAAAGTACTAATTACTTTCTCTTCACACAGAAACGCAGATAAATATCTTGGAGAAATTTTTTTCTAAAATCTTGTAAATAGCGAAACTCTCATGTTTGCTAATACGTAGCTGAAAATCTGAAAGGTCAAAAACAATCAAGTTTTGTGTTAGAGTTTACTTGCCTGCAAGAAATTTCTATCATAAATCAATATATCATAAAGTTTAGAAAATCATATTTTGTTTTCTCCTAAAAAATCTCACATCATAATTTTTCTGATTGTGAGAGGCTTCCATCCTAATTTGTTTTTGGTTGAAGCGTTCTATATTCAAGTTCATTACAAGAGCATATGTATCGACCAATAATAATGCAGCAAAACTGGAAATCTCAATGGAAAGTACTAATTACTTTCTCTTCACACAGAAACGCAGATAAATATCTTGGAGAAATTTTTTTCTAAAATCTTGTAAATAGCGAAACTCTCATGTTTGCTAATACGTAGCTGAAAATCTGAAAGGTCAAAAACAATTAAGTTTTGTGTTAGAGTTTACTTGCCTGCAAGAAATTTCTATCATAAATCAATATATCATAAAGTTTAGAAAATCATATTTAGTTTTCTCCTAAAAAATCTCACATCATAATTTTTCTGATTGTGAGAGGCTTCCATCCTAATTTGTTTTTGGTTGAAGCGTTTTATATTCAAGTTCATTACAAGAGCATATGGATCGACCAATAATAATGCAGCAAAACAGGAAATCTCAATGGAAAGTACTAATTACTGCTTTCATTCGTAGGGGTAAAGATCTTTTATTGAATGGCATGGGGAAAGATGTTCTTCAGTCCGTCGGAGCAAATTGTTTCAAAGCTCTATTGCAAGGCATTATTAGACGGACACACCATTCGGTTTGAGTAGGTCTCTGGAATCCAGATTCAAGTCTGTAAAGATGTTAACTTTTTGTTGGAACGATCAAAGAAAATGAAAGAATAAAGGAAGTTCAAAGAGAGCTTAACTGTCAAACCAACTTACTTCTTACAAAATATACAATTCGCCCTCGTAACTATTTGTATTTTGTCAAAAAATCATGAAATGGAGAAAAACTTTGGTTTGCTATTTAAAAAATGCGCAATGTCATTCACTAAAGCTTTTTTAGATTCCTTCGAGTTTTCGAGGAAATACTTTATTGTCGATGGATCATTAGATATTGAAAAAGCAATAAATTGAATAAAAAGCGCAAAATTAAAATTTTGAAAAGTCTTTTGACCAGCAAAAAAATTGAAACATGGAACTCAATTGCTGTCGAAATTGTCAACAAGATAATTGAAACCAAACAAAAATTTTTTCTTGCAAACTACTTTATGAGCGACGATCAGTGTTTGATTCAAGCATTTCAATGACATCATCAAGTAATTGGCAAAGTGTAATTGAATGAATAATGCGGTCTGTACTTTTTTGATAAACAAAAGAGAAAGAAAAGCGGTTACGAAAAATTAATTCGAATAATTTTTGTCTTTTCTTTGAGTTGTGTCTAAAATCTCCTGTTATTTTTTTCTGGAAATTGTGAGCTAGGCGAATCAGCTAATCAGTGCCTGATTGAGTGGTAATTAATAGCTAAAACAAGAATGATTAATAGATAGTTTTGGAAATCAAATCAATAGGCTTGTCAATATTTTTTCTTGAAATAAACAAAACTTTTCCATTATTCACAAATTCCTCTCATTTCCATAAAGCTGATAAAACTTTTGGCGAAGTAATTCGGTAAACTCTATTTTTCAATTATTGTCTACTGTTGTTCTGTTTGTGTTTTTCATTTGAGCTATATTCATTTTTTCACTTTTCTTTATCATTTTCAAAGTTTTTATACAATTACTAATCAAAACTACTAAGTAACGGTTGAGACACAAATAATGAGATAGGGCTATTTGAATGTGTTTTTTTTTGGCTTCAGAAAACTGTTTGTTGAATCATTACAACTCGGAAGACCTCGTTAGAATAAAAAGTATTTTCAACTTCAAATTTTGCATTTGCAAAAATGCTCATTGCTTTTCAATACAAAAAAAATCTTAAGTTAAATCCATTTTTTTAGTATATTGTAATTTATTTTACAAATTTTGATAGACCAGCTCTTTTGATAGCGTTTTATAGAGCACCAGTTTTCCATTTGAAGCAGCGGTGAATATCTTGAAATCACGCAAGTTGATCGGCTTCCTGAAAGTGTCTTTCGTTCCCACATCCACATACCTCAAATACTCGATTTCCTGTCCAGTTACCATCGATTTCTTCCAGACATCTGTTTGCTCATCTTCATCGAAACTGGAATCGGTTGGCAACTTCTGGATTGATCTGGTGACTGCCAGGAATTTCCCGAGGAGGGTGAAGTTTCCGTCTTTGGCGTCGGGTATTTTGATGATCACTTTGCAATTGGGAGAGTAGCTTTTCCAGTCGTAAATAGAAAGGACGTTGTCATTCGTGCCAATGTAGAGCAGGGATCCACGCAGCTGGAAATCTAAAACAAATAGAAAAGCGAATTTGCATTTGGTAGGCAAAACTTTTTGACTTTTACTTAACACCCTTTTCATGCTGAGCCATTTTGAAGTAATATCAAAAAAAATTTTAGGGCCAACATTGTAATTTGTGAACAGGAGTGCGTATGTTTGCAATGAATTAATTGCTCCCTCTCTCCCTTCTGAATAAATTTCAATTTTATGATGTGACAGGGGGTGTTACAAGGTTAAGTTTGATGATCAGTTATGTTTGTCGAGACCTGATTCAGTATGTTGGTTTTTCGCAACAATCGCACAATATGAACAAAAAAAACTTGAAAAAATCTGCAAGCAACGGAAGGGTTGAAAAAAACCCAGGTCTGCGAGGAGACTGAATAACGTCACCATTTTTTTTTTCGGCCATTGTAACAATTAGGCCAACAAAATTGATGAATTGGCGTGGCGTGCACCAGACAAATAGATCAATTTACGGTATAATTATTGGGTTTATAAGCTTGTAAATGAGGACTTGTTCATAATTGAGTAATGAACTCGCGGCTGTTTTTCCTCCTACTGCAAACTGAAAAAATTTTCAAATGATTTTTTGTTGACATTGTCCGACTGCGACAAAACGTGGCATGCGAAATTACTAAACCCTGAGAAACACATTCAATCTTCATACTTCTCGTACTGACAAGAAAAGGTCAGCAATCGAATTTACTCAGATATTTTAGCAGAGACCTATAAAAAATCATTTGAATGGATGTAAAATCGATTTAGTTTGATACAACAATGTAGATTAATCAATCCAGTTTCAATCGATTCTGGATCATGTTTTTGGTTTCATTTATCTACGGATTTTAGTATTAAAAAAAATTGTATTAAATCAATTTAAATTGGTATTTAACGAATTTTTTGGTTGCTCATTTTATGCAGATTATATTCAGTTCTTCTAGACTGTCAAACAAATTTTAAGATAAGTTTATAAATTGACTTTTTTGATTAAATAAATGACCAGAAATTAAACTATGAAGATAACTAATATCGAATCCTTCTGCACCACAACTGAACTCTTCTAATTTGAATTTTTAAATACTTTTTTGCCTGAAAAGTTTGAACCTAGGACATTGATAATCAAAATGATATTTAGAAACTTTGCGTTCTTGTACTTCTAATCAAAGCGGGATCAATTGTTTGTAGGGGAACCCTTAAACGCAATAGTTTACGGTAAAAACTCTCCTCGAGTGATTCTTGCTGTATGTAGCTCTGATGAAGATTTTCTTGGGTACAAAATTTTGCTCAAGCATCGAAAAAAAGAGAATAATAAATTTAAATCAGTTTCATTCAAATTTTGATGCGTTTCGCTACCCTGCGAAAATTCATTTAACTTTATTTGAGTTAATTTGTAGCCAACAAAATCAATTTTCTTTTCTGTGAAAATCCATTTAATCTAAATCGATTGAAATTTCTGAATGGGCTATCGTAAACCAATTTCTATACAGTATATAATCTGTTTAAAAATCGATTAAAATCTTTTTCAATCTTAAATTTGTCAGTGCGAGTTAATCTTGATGCTGGTGTGGGGAAAAAAGAAAGCTTAACTCATATGTCAGTTTTGATGACATTTAGACAATGTGAACAAAATTTTGAAACAAAACAGAAGTATAGGGACCTGTAATTCTGGAATGTGGATCTCTTCCCTGTGAAATCATTCTTGAACCAAATAATTAGTGCTTGCGTGAGGTTGTGATAAGAAAGAAAAACGAATTTAGATTTTCCAGGTCTCTTTTCCTCCTTCACTCATAATTTTGAAAACGATACCAATTTGAATAAATTTTTGTGCATATAATATACTGTATAGAAAGCAATGCAAAATAACCCATTTAGATACGTAAATCATATTAGAATGGATGAAATTGAGTTCAACAGAAAAAAAAACTTTTTATTGCAAAAAAAAATTGAATTGATTTAAAAGAGCTTTCTTTAGTGAAAAACATCGAATCTCAACAAAAATAATTTAATCTAACTACTCTTCTGTTTCAAAGCTTGAGCAAATTATTCAACTCCAGAAAACCTCCATCTGGGCTACAGAGAGTAAGGGTCAACCAAAAAAAAAATGTGGCAAACTATTTCCACTATTTCTTTTTTGTTTGATAGTTTGAACTGTGCATACAAAAAATTGGAGAAAAAATTGTTTTAAAACAATTTCGACCAATTTTAATGTAACTCAAATCCGTAGGAAGCGGCACCAAAAAAATGTTAAGAAAAAGTATTTAAATTGACTAAGGGTTGATTGAAATTGATTTTTAATCTTCATTTTTGTATTAAATTATAAAGATTTTTTTAGGTCTCTGCAACGTTATCTGTAAAAAAAATCGTCCAATCCTTTTCTTGCCAATCGTGCTATCTGCAATCATTTTCTAGTCAGTACGGGCACACACTGCACCCCCCCCCCCCCCCCCCCACACACACACACACACACATTGGATTTTCAAGTTTGAAAATCTTTTCTAGTCTTGTCATAATTCAATGAAAGTTGACATGATGAACAAACTAACGCTCTTTTCCCACCTCCATAATTTTTCGTTTACATTGTCCGAGTGCTATAAAGACTGGCATGCCGACTAAATAAGCCATGACAATCATTTTCGATCCTCTAACCTTATAAAACTCTCGTTACGCCATAAGCTTTATGGCTTATGTGAGGTGGCGGGAAACAAAAAAAGTATCCACACTAACAATTGTGAACAGATTTGTTCTTTATACGTTGACTTGTATCAGCACGCAATTAGCCATAATGACACGTAAAAGAGGTAAAAGAATGAAAATTTGAAAGTATGAGGTCAATTTTTTTGTGGTTAATTTTTTATTGGGAATTAGAATTAGACGGATATTTGTTTGAGATGAAGGTGGTTACCATTGACAGAAGTTTCACTACGCTTATGGAACTGTTCAGTCTCGAGTTCACCCGAGTACTTTCCATCCTCAAAGTGGAACACCTTCTCCCCATGTTCCACGTACAATCTGAAATCAATAGCAACCAAAATGGTATGAAATGGTTTTTCTCTTCATATGAGAGTCACCGAAAAAAGCTATCAACTACAAGACCACAAATTTTAGTGGCAAAAAATAATACAGCCATCTGAAATACTGCACGTGCTTTGTATACTATAAAACATATAATCTGCTTGGTATAAATTATATCATTGAGCGCTTTCAAAACAACACTTTTTGCAGTTAAGAACAGAGATATTATATCGGATTCGTGAAATTATTAGCAACAAGATAACAACATGAATATTTTTGGGGAAAAGACTTTAGTTGACAACTGGTTTGAAGACCGAGTTCTAGAAGAAGACAAAATTAAAGAGTATCTCGAAAAACGAGAACGCGGCGAACTTCTTAGTCAGAAAAACGCGTCACTTTCAACGGCTATGTTGAACGCGACTCAACTCGCTACTTCGGCCGACGGGTGGGTTAAGTTCGGGGATCAAGTCGTGTTTCAGAACCCTCATTTATTCAATGATGAGCATCATTTGGCTCTGACATTCGCAGGCGAAACTGCGACAGCACTAGAGTACAAATCTCCCCAGGTAAGCAAAAAAGATTTCGGCTCTTTTCCACTTCCTTTCTCCTTTTGGAATAAAATATTGATGCTTATGCAAGGACGAGGGGGAGAAGGCAAAAATTAGCATGCGGTCGAAAAAACTTCTAGACCCTCCCAAACAACTTCACAAAGAAAAAAACGAATCGTTCAATTTTAACTTACAACTTAGGTGCGAAACACATTTATAATCTTCCCTACTGACGGTTCCAAAATGGGGGACAAACTGCGCTACTGTCAGCCATTCGCGATCGCAACCCACCCGAGTATCAGTCCCGAGCCCAAGTTCATGCAGAGCGAAGACGGGGGGTTATTGAACACCAAAAAATCTCGGACCCAACCAATAAGTTTTTCGGACACCCCCTCGTATTTGGCCCTGTGGAGGATACACTGTTTTGACCCCCAGTTGAGGCTGGAAACAGACGGGATGCCTGTTCCTGTGAATTCACCGGTGATTGTTAACCACAGCAAGACTAACAACAATTTGACATACTTGGAGGCCTTTACTATCGCCACGCCATTCGGAACAGGTATAAAAATGTTCTATGAAACTCTCTAGGAAACAAACAATATTATGCGTTTATCGGCCCTTCTAGCCTCCGCCACGTGACATTTTTTGAACATAAACATCTATTTTAGTGTAAAAACGACGCTTAAAGTGGAAAGTGACTTAGACAAACACGTTTTTCATTTCCATGTAATTACCTAATCTTTTTTGAAGCACATCTGATGCTATTATTTCCGTTTTTGACAAAAATGAGATTGAAAGCAAACAAAATCGACTTTTTGTGCAGATAATTTTTTTGAAAGAAATTAATTAACGATAGCCCATTTAGACATGTAAATCGATACAGATTGGATTAATGGATTTTTACGGGCGAAAATATCGGTTTTAATGCATAAAAAAATAGATTCAAGTTGTTTTAAATGGACTTTGCAAGTTTGTGAAAATCACTCAAATCTCAACAAAATTCATTTATTTTAACATTTCTTTTTGTTTCGGAGAGCTACAGAGAGCAAAGTTCTTTGATGCAAACTATTGCGTTTAGGGGACTCTCTTTCAAATTGTGCAAAACTAAGGGTTTTCTCGGTAACCAGAAGTAAAACTATGGAAAATTTTCAGTTGTCATTTTCATTAACAACGTTTTAGGCGCAACTTATTAAGGCAAATGAATATATAATTGAAAAGTTCAACTTAGAACAACTTTTTTGGTGCAAAAAAAAACGTTTTAGGAGTACTCGTTTTTTTCGGCTAAACACAAAACAAAAAACCAATTGAAAAGACGCGATAATTTTAGTTGCAGTTTCTCTTTTGTTTGATATAAAACCTCTTAAAATAATCAGAAAGTAATATGTATAAAACGAGTCTAAAAAGAGAGGTTATGAATTGAATTTCTTCAGTTTGATAGTTACCAATTTCGGAAAGAAAAAGGAAGTACAAACTTTGCCAAAAATAGAATTTCAATCAACTTAGGACCAATTAAAATTGATTCTTCTACAACCTTTTTTATTTGAAATTGAATCAATTTTAAATTGATTCAACTAACTTTTGTAGGTCTTTGCTACATTATCTGTAGAAAATTGATTGCAATCCATTTCTTGTTAGTATGGAGAGATATGGTCGCTTGTAGCAGGCCGGAATTTTTTTGTCCGGAAAACGGAAAAAAATTCATCAAAATCCGATGACTCCCGTTATACCCCCTTGCCCCAGTAACAGAACAAAAACTGCTCAGACACTTTGACTTTTATTATCTTGGGGAGGGGTATGTTTTTCTTTGTATAATTTTTTCTCGCTAAACGGTACCCGGGTTGACCAAAAAATGCGTATCATACAATTCTCAAGAATGGGAAGTTTTTTTCATACAATTTCATACAATTCCATACGTACAGAAAATTGTATGAAAACTCTATGACAAGCATTTTCCCATAAATGGAAATTGTATGATGGGTATTTTCTCCATAAACCAAAAAGATGTTCTTTGTTCGTAAATTTATTTTCTGACAAACTTTTGATTATGTTTGCAACCGAACACAAGTGACAAAGACCTTGGTTACTCAAAGCACCAAAGGTTGGACGGTCTTGCATTTACAATGCATAGAAAACGACCTGAAATGTCTTCAAGATGTCTTTCACAAATGATATGACAATAGGAACAAACTTTTAATTTTTGGCAAAATTTTTCAATGATGATTATTTTAAATTTGTGAATTTTCCAATTATCAGACATTGATCAAGGCATACATAAACACACCATACAAAAGAAATAGCAATTTTCAGCGTTTTTGAAGAAAGAAAATTTAAGTGAAAAGAAAAAAAGCCAGTATTATCGTATCCAGGTCTACGTTATGCACACAAAAGATTGAAATTTGCATGCAAAAAAATTTTTTTCGGAAAATGTTTGTTTGTATACAAAAATTGATTTGAGCTTGAAAAAAAAAAAAACTTTTGGGGCTAATTTTCAATATTTTTTGTGTCGTATATGGAAATTGTATGGTAAGCAATTTTTTCAAAAATAAAAATTAAAATCAGTTTTTTTTGTCACCAGTCTGTTCAAATGTTTTCAAAAAAAGATGCAGAAATGGTTTAATTTTTTTCTTATTGTTTTTCGAAAATGTATGCAAGTTGTATGACAAGCATTTTCGGTGCATGGAGGTCAACATGGGTACTTGGAATGTGTTGTTAGTGTTATCTGACATTAATGTGAATAGTAAAAAAAATCTGTTTTCTCATATGTTCGTCTATTTAAGGTCAAGAGGTCACGGCGAGGACTGAACTTGACAGCCACAACGCAGAGTGTAAAACGAACCACTGGAAGCTACTATACAAATAGACAGTTGGGCTAGATCCAATCTCAAAGACATGTGGATGGAACTGATATTAACCCGCACTATTATTTCAATTAAATTCAAATGAGCTTGTCTGATTTTTCCTCGACAATGTAAAATAGATTTTCTAGTCGCAAATATTTTTGACAAGAAAATTTTTTTGACATGGTGTTGGTTTGCATGGACATGATCCACAAAAAGTCTTTTGTTTCTTTTCCAGTTTGTCAACCTCTCATAAAATTGCAACAAAAATGTTGAAAAAATCAATTGCAAGGTAATTTACATAAAAGAAATGTTGTGAAATTTTTTTCGTTTATATACGCTGACACGTTTTTATTGTAGTTAAGAACATACCAAATCATTAAAAACAGGCTTTCAGAAACTGATTTTCAGAAAAATCAAAGGACGACATGAAAAAATCCAGGTTTTTCGATGATTTTAGCTTTTCTATTGATTAGTAAATGATGACCCCAGTGTTCTTACACTGCAGATAGAATCCCGAAAAAATTTCAGGGTCTCTTTAACTATTCCCCCCTTTGGTACCTGGCAACGTATTGCCACCCTCAGTTTGAAACAATTTACCGGTTGAGCATTTGCAAAATTAGTACCAAGTTACTGATCCCCTTTTACAAAATGGTTTAGTTATAGATACCCAAACTACATAATTCTTGCTTTTTTCAATTAAAGCCCTTGAAAAATAAGCTATAATAACTTTTATGAAAAAATATAACTTTTTTGAACGTTTTGTTTTTAGTTTAATACCGGGATGACCTCCGCACAGTAAAACTAGTTAATTTTAACAATAGTACCCTAGTCAATCAAGGTATTGATGGATAATCTATTCAAGACTAAAGATATCCTTTTTTTGCAAAACCTTTAGTGATACGTTTTTTGGGCAAAAATCGATGGCTTTTTTTCCTTCCCCCCACCAGCAAATTTTTTATAATTCAAATGACTGTTCACAATGTCCGATTGTCATGAAAATTGACATGTAGACTATTTAGCCCAACATATTTGATTTTCATAATCAACCTCGTAAAACCAATCGTTAGACCATAAAGTTGATTCTTGTGTGAGGGGGGGGGGGAGTCAAACGGCTTTACACGCGAGGACAACCAAGTAGCGCTCGTGGAAGAAGAAAACACTCTTAGCTACGCATACATGCACACAGCCCGCTAGGCAGTTGCCCCCCCCCCCCTCCCCCACCCCGAAAGTTTCAACTTTTGAGTTTTTTTGTGATAGGCGAGTAGTTTCAAAACTTCATTGAAAACTTACACCTAATTCTCTCAAAATAGGAAAAATGCATTTTGTGTCAAATGAAAACACAAGATAATCATCAAAAAAACTTCTTTGGATTTACGTCTTAAAATTTAGGTTAATATTTGTTACAAATTGTGTTTTTCCTGTTTTGAGAGACTTAGGGAAAGATTATTGATCAAAACTTGAAGTTAGCCGCCTATCACAAAGTAGACTCAAAAAACTAAAGCTTTCTGGGGGCAACCGCCTAGTGCGCTGTGTTTATGAAAAACTTTGGCAAAACCAATACCGAGAAATGACATTCTAATTCTCTTAGGACTAATAATTTTTGTGTTTTAAAAGTCTGTGCGGATCTTGTTAATTATTCCTTCCCCCAATTTCGATTTTCAATAGTTTAATTTAAGTTGCCACATTTTTAACACTTCGAAACAATTTCCAGATAAAAATTAAAATCTCTAATGTAAGAATTATATAAATACACGAAATACAAATACGAAAGTGCGAAAATGAAAACTCAATTAATTGGTGAAATGCATATTCTATACAGAAATGATTTTCAAAAATAATACATGCATAAGGGGAATTAGTTAGCAAGGTACAAAAAAAGAGAAGGTAGTAATTAGCAAGATCTGTCGGTGTTCCATCCTAAATAAATCAGAAAATTGTAAACTCAGCAAAAGGTTAACCATAAGTTTTCCATTAATGCAAGTTATGACTAGCTGTTTTCGAAAGTACTCAAAAACCTAGTGCTGCATACTTAACTGGGCTCAGAATGTTTTTTTGCAAGTTTACAATTTTGAAAAATTAGCATCCATATATTCAGACTTGATATAATCAAAATTATTATGTTGATATAATCATAAAAATGTTTGTTTAAGACATCTAAATTGTCATTTTACAGAAAAAAATAAATATTCAGATTATTTTTTGATTAAGAAATTTTTAGGTCAAACTCATTACACCATTACACCATTCAACCTTTGGTGATGCAAGCTTTGAATAACCAAGCGTTTGTCACTTGTGTCTGATTAGTAAAACAACCCAGATTTTTTGATAAAAATTCAAATAGAACAATACGAGGCCAAACTGTGCACTGGATAGGCGCAAATTTTTGTGTTTGTATGTTCCTGGACTCCAGAGACAAGTCTTTAAACATATCAAAATCTTTCGGAACAATGTAAGAAAATGTAAGAAGAAGAGAAGAACAAAGGGAGCGTCCTTGTTGCGGAATCCGCTCACAATTCACAATATGCACAGTTTGGCCTCGTAATGAAAAAAATTTAAAATTTTTTTTTATGGAAAATGGAAACTTTTATTATATAACTTTTGACTGCAGCTGGTAAATGAATTCAAATTCAAATTCAGGCATTTTTGTATTTATGGAATTGCATGAAAAATCGATGATTACCATTTTTACGTATTTGGAAGTTGTATTATTAACATTTTGGTCAACCCGGGCAGCTTTTTTGAAAAACTATGTCCAAAATGTTAGCTCCATCAAGGAAGCTCACATAAAAACAACTTTTTTGAGTTTGATTCTTAAAAGCAATGATGAAAAAATGTTCTAAGCTTTACAATTTCTCTAGAAAATACCGGAAGAGAACAAACAGATCAGCACATTGAGTCACAAAATTTTTCAACTCTGAAAAGGTTAAATGACAAAAAGACTCTTTACATACTTCAATTTCGAAAATGTGAAACAATCAAATTGAATCAGACTTACAACAAGTCAGATTCGTGAGCAGCCATGTGCCATTTATTAGTGAATGCCCCTTTCTGGTCATACAGGAGAGAGGGTATGGCCACTTCGCCCAGTTTAGACAGGGACCTCTTGTCCACGATGCAGATAAAGTGCTTCAACACAGGGTCGAACGACTTGCGAGGGCTGAAATTTATGATAGATATAATTTACTTTCCCTTTTTTGACAACTCTGACAGTTTTTGACAGTGAGATGACAGCTTTGCATGACAACAATTCTTTTTTTGAGTATAAGTCAGGTATAAAACTCAGACCTACCTAAAAAGTAAAGTTGTCCCCCCTTTGTACTTTTTTGAGATATCCATTTTTGGTTACGGACCCTTAGATTTTCTAAGGCGCCTTTGGCGCCAATATATACTAATGCTAAGGGGGGAGCGCGCGCCGAAAAAACGCAATTTTTTTGACGCATTTTTGGACTGTTTTTCGATATTTTGCCTGCGACACAGAAATTTTGACCAAACTTGGTCTTTGTAGTGCTTTGGGAGAGCTCGGAAAATCAATTAGGTCGACCTTTAAAAAAAGTCGACAAAATTTTCGATTTTTTTTTTGAAAATCCGCCCCTCCCTCGAGAAAATCCTAGATCCGACACTGGTCATAACCAATGCTAAGTTTTCCCTTTGAAGCGAGCTGATTAAACGTTAGCATGTGCATCATTTTCAAATTGAGGGGAAGGAGTGGAACGGGTGAAAGGGGTGGTGTGAAAGGATTTGTTTTGAGACTCACACTGGCGACTCCGAGGAAGAGCTGCTCGTTTCGTTCTCGGCTCCTTCGGCTACCATGTTCGCAATGTTTCCATCACTGCCGATGCTCTCTGACTCAGAAGCAGAAGCAGAAGCAGGTATCGTCTTCTGATTGGTCAGTTTCTTCAAAGCCGAGTCCTTGTTCATGGCCCATTCTCGACAGAGTATGTAGAGACAATTGTCGCCCAAGGTCATGTCTTGAGAAAAGAATGATTGTCAATGAGCTAACTTTGGCCTGTCCAAAAAATACGCTTTTTTCGAAACATTTATCAGAAAATTCATCCTTGCGAACTGATTTTTTCTAAGAAACCTTCATTTTAATGAAAAATTTTATTTTTAATAGTTCAGAAACCAAATTTTTGATGATATATCCCAAAACTCTATTCAAAAATTCAGTCAAAGACAAAACTTATTATTTCTTCAAGAAAAAAAATAACAGTCTTATGTTATGAGTTTAAAGTTAATTTAGTTTAAAGTTAATTTAAAGTTAGTTTAAAGTTATGAGTTTAAAGTCCTGATGTAGATTTATTTAACCTGTTTGATCAAAATGATGTGTGTCATAATTTTATCTGCATCAAATTCAAAATTCAAATTCAATTGCTTGTTAAATTCTTGATGATTCGTTAGAGATGATAATTTCTTAAGTTAATGAATAATCAGCGTTCTTTATCGTCATATTTTTTGAGCCTGAATTTTCAATTCGACTTTCACAAATATGGTTCCTGAAGTAATTTTTAAAAATAATTAAATAAATCCGGACTTCAGGTGAATTTGAAGAACTTATCAATTAGCCAGGATGCAATTTGAAAAATAATCAAAAGTTAAAACGTTTCTCCAACAATTAGTTAGTTTTAAGCTCATAACGTAAAATTGTTGAGGTCAAACGGTTTCATACATAAGTTCTATCCAAAGCTCATAATCATAATCAGATGGTTTCTTATAGGTTCTACTTTACATATCAAAAATCTTCTCTTCCAAATCCTCCAATATCCAACACCCACTGTTTTGTGAAACTAAAATTTCCACAGTTTCGCTCTTTAATAAAGAATTTCGCTCTTTACCAAAGAAAAAGACGACCACGTGATCTAACCGATGACGTCAGAGGGCCATAATTTCCCTGTGATGAAGGTGTCCTCGATGTCTCTGATGAAGACATGTCTGAACATCTTGAGGAGTCTGAGGTCGCTGTAGAGCATGTAGTACACATGTTTCTTCTGGTCCCACACCATCCTCAGGGGGAACAGATTGGGGGGCTAGATAGTTATTCGGAGACAGGGTTGTCATTAGAGGTCAAATCTGGTTATATTACAATGACTATTGCTTCTCATTTAGATTATTTTACAATGGTGTTCGAATGATGCTAACTTACTGTTCTGATTTAAAATAGAAACAGAAACATGAATTATTTTATTGCGTTCACAAAATGTGACGCCGCCGCCACCACAAAAGAAATATGTTTTTATTCCCTTGCAAAAGGAAGGGAAATGCTATTGGCATAATTCGTATAACGTTTTAAGCATTGAGAATTGAAACGACTATTCTCATTCAATGCGAATGTTAACGATTCCTCTCGTAAAATACGAGCATACGAAACCTTCTTCTCGTAAAATACGAATGTACGAAAAGAGAATACGAAGTTAAGAAGTAACTTCTCATTTGATACGAAAAGTGGTACGATTTCCCATCTGAGTATAAATAGAAGCTCAAAACTACGGGAATTCATTCCCAACAATATCTCTTCTAACACCAACACCACTCTCTTCAACCACCCCCAACCAATCTCTAAAATAATATCTACTCTCAGTAAAAATATCTCTAATCTCACCGTTAATATATATATTGAGTCAAAAGGCAACTTGCTGTAAATTCATACTAACTTCTTTTCTAATAAAATATTTCTCAGCGAAATTTAGATTTACTTTCTAAGGTAGAAAGTAGAAAGGACCCTTTATTCCTAGCAAGCGTTTTGTCCGACGTATATAGTTTTGCTAGCGTAATAAATTGGTTCGACAAAGTATTGCTTGCCGCTTCATATAATATACTTTTCACTTCCATAGTGACCTCAATTTTCACTCAAGATGAGCAAACTGAAAAAATAGAACAAGAATGTGATCAAAAAATACAAGCTCCTCTTTTAGAGGAAATTGATAAAATAAACCAGGATCGCATGTATCCTCACATCCAATTAACAAGTTTTGAGAGAAGAACTCAAAACTTGGATCACCCAACAAACCCAGTCTAATAAAAAAATTCTACTGTTCTAGGATATACCAACTGATTCAACTATGGACGCAACACTTGATGACGACTTGAGAGATTTTGAGGACCTTCTCTCACTCCTGCCACCAACCGATCCACTGGACTCGCAGATTTCAGCACTCACTCAACAACCAACTGTTTCTACTACTACAACACCCACTGCAAAGCCGACCTCAACACGATCCTTCGTTGAGCCACTACTTCAAACCAATTCAGCTGTCCCAATAACTACAGCATCAAAGCCACCACCCCTAAAAATTTCACCCCCTGATTTCAAAATACCCCTGGTTCCCTCGAATTCCAAAATTAAAAAACGGACCCAGATTGTAAAACCATTTAAGATACTAACGGCAAATACGCCGGTATCAACTTCTCAATATCCAATGACCATTAGGCGACAGCCCTTACATCCCACTGATTTAAATACTAAAATACATATTCAGTTAGAGAGGGAACGATACATAAATTCTAACAGCAATCCCGGCTTCGATATGGATCTCAATTATGCTTTGAATCCATTAATCAATCGTTTTAAATTAGGAGCCTATCACCCTATAAAAAAAATGTACTCCATAACTAATTCCCTTCTTGAATATCAAAAAATCTATGTCCCAGCAAAATATCTGACAGCAAAATTACAAACCCCTCAGTTAGATGACTATACTGAGCAAATTCAGAGCAGTCATATACATGAAACGCACCAAATCCGGGAGCTGAAAAAGCAAATCCACAATTTGAAAACAAAAAATCACCAACTTATAGCCCGGTTGGAAGGAAAATTGTAAAAGTTTATCCTTTAATTTAAACATTTATTCTTTCGCTTTATATAGCTATGTAGTATAGCTATTAATTTTTTCCTTTCTCAACAATTTTGACTTTTATAAAAAAAACAAAAAAAAAACAAAAAATACCCCCTTTTGTATGAACCAGTCCTCCCCTTATTACGCGTATGGACATCCACTTCACATACTTCAGGACAAAAAGGAAACTTCGGAAAAAGAATGTTCAAGGAATAAAACTAACCTTCAAACTTTTGAGAAACAAATAATTTTGATGTATTTAATTTTATAGTTAAATCCCTTGGTTGTGTAAACTCTATTTTGATTTATAAATGTAACTGATGTATTTATATTCATTCAAGCCTGACTCAAAGTATCAGTTGTTCAAAAATTATCTGCTACCTGTAATACCAACAAACTATTGAACCAACTTTATGAGATTGAAAGAAAAAGCTTCGATCGATCAACAATTACCCCACTATTCAAGTGAAAGTAATAAAAATGAAAGTTTCAGTTTTTTTCCTCTTCAAATAGGAGGATGGATATGTTCTGATTTCAAATAGAAACAGAAACATGAATTATTTTATTGCGTTCAAAAAATGTGACGCCGCCGCCACCACAAAAGAAATATGTTTTTATTCCCTTGCAAAGGGAAGGGAAATGCTATTGGAATAATTCGTATAACGTTTTAAGCATTGAGAATTGAAACGACTATTCTCATTCAATGCGAATGTTAACGATTCCTCTCGTAAAATACGAGCATACGAAACATTCTTCTCGTAAAATACGAATGTACGAATAGAGAATACGAAGTTAAGAAGTAACTTCTCATTTGATACGAAAAGTGGTACGATTTCCCATCTGAGTATAAATAGAAGCTCAAAACTACGGGAATTCATTCCCAACAATATCTCTTCTAAAACCAACACCACTCTCTTCAACCACCCCAACCAATCTCTAAAATAATATCTACTCTCAGTAAAAATATCTCTAATCTCACCGTTAATATATATATTGAGTCAAAAGGCAACTTGCTGTAAATTCATACTAACTTCTTTTCTAATAAAATATTTCTCAGCGAATTTTAGATTTACTTTCTAAGGTAGAAAGTAGAAAGGACCCTTTATTCCTAGCAAGCGTTTTGTCCGATGTATATAGTTTTGCTAGCGTAATATTACTAAAAATGCAAATAAAGAGAAAAATAGAAAAATAAAACAGCTTTACTCGTCGTGGAAACGGATTTGGACCTAAATTTTTTCTCAAATAAGCAAATTTCATAAGCAATGGAAACAAAATAAAACAAAAACCAAGTTCACATCTTGAAACAAGTTGGGGGGGTTTGAAGGGGAAAATGATTTTTAAAAGATTCCTTACTTCTTTTCCTAAAAGAGGATTAGTTCCTTGGTGTATAATTCAGTGGAACCAAAATGTTCTTGGAATTATAGGAATCTTGAAAGTCGGGTTTTGTCAACAGTACCTAGCATAAAAGCCAACCATGCATTTTTTGAATCAACGCGCACCATGGAGAGGCCTTGAACTATGCACCGATAATGATTGAACCTTGATCCTCTCTATCCGATAACTTATGTCTAAGCAAGTAAATTGGAAAAAAAAGGTTGTTTCTAAGGAATCTCTGTAAAATTGAAAATTGTCGAGAAATTTTGGTAAGAAGTGTGTTATTATACTGGTTCCAGGAGCGATTTTAGGATTTTATCGAGGGGGAGGGGTTGGTTTTTTCAAAAAAAATTTGAAAACTTTGAGGACCTTTTTTTCCGAGCTCTCCCAGAACAAAAAGCAATAAAGACACTATTTTGTAAAAATATTAGGCAAGTTTTTGAAAGAAAAACAGTCAAAAAATCCCTTGCATACTTATAGCGCTCCCCTTCACAATTAGTATAAATTGGCACGAAGACGCTTTTAGAAAACACTAGTAGTGTTGGTCACCGAAAAAAGATATCACAAAAATTATCATAGGGGGACCCTTTGATTAGCGAAGGTGTCGATTATTTAAAGAAAGCGTTCCCTCCCTATATATGCCACTGACCGGTCCCTCTATAGCTATAGAGTAATTTTCCGGGATGTTTTCCCAAAGAAGTAGAAAATTTATTTGCAAAAAGATCTTGCATGCCTTGATAGTTTTAAGTGGCTGTTTTTCATATCATTGGCAGTATAAAAAAAACTAACAGGGAAATGTATATCTCTACTCAAATTGCAACTAAATGACTTCAAATGACAACCCTGTTTAGTTGGTAGCAAGTTCTCCCCCGCCTCGTCTCCCGGGTCCCCTATTAGAGTAAATGCACGCTCCTTTGTCCCATTCAGGCTCTCCTCTCTTCCGATATCCGTCTCCATTTTCGATCAGCCGAAGAATTGATTTTTTGCTAAAGTGAACACAATTTTTTTTTCAAAAAAAAAAATTTTTTTTTTCAAATAAAAAAACAAGTTGGAAATAACTTTCGGCGATATAATGTTTATAGGATGACGGAAATTTGCTGTGAGAGAGATTAAAATGGTAGCATATGTTGAAATCAGTCTGTGTTTGTTTTCAATGTGAAAATTGTTTCAGAAAAAAACTCGACTTGCTATATTTTTGGCGATAAGAAATGACATTGCAAAACTTTTAGATGAAAAAACGATATGTTTAGTTTAAAATTAGGGAAAGTTGACCTAAATAATGGGTCTAAAATCTTATTTCGATGAACGATGCAACGATCTTTATTTGAGATGTAATAAATAAACGACTTACCAATTTGACTGAAAATATATCACATAAATAAACACGTAAAACAGAAATAATTTGAACCAACAGAAAAGATTTCTCGTGGTAATACTCTTTTGAAGAAAACGGTTGAAGCGAAAGTCACATGCTTAATAAATTTTGACAAATGACAAGAATGAAGCCGTGTTTACCACCGTTTTTCTTATCACCACCGCAAACTAACTAACCCAATAATAACTAAATGACTAAGAACTTGAACATGACGACATCATTTTACATTAAGGTTGCTCAAAGATTAAAGGTTCTAAGAATTGTAGGCAAAAACAAGGCATAAAACTGGCCAAATCGAATTGGTATTTTGACTCAGCACAAGTTAAATGAAGACTGCTCGTTTTAATGCAAATTCCTAAGTTGTAGATAGGTATCAAACGCTGTCTTAGTCTTTCGGTGAAAACATCCCGGGTCGACGTCCATAGAAGAAAAATGCTTATCATACAATTTCATATATGGTGTCTGTAGAAAAAATGCTTATCATACAATTTTCATACAAAATTTCAAAATGTTTCAAAGATTTTTGGTTCAGATACATATTCTTCTCGACGCTTTTAAAACTTTCTAGTAATCAAAAAATATTTTTAATTTTTGAATGAAAAAAATGTTTATTATACAATTTTCATATATGAAAACTTCATGTTTAACATTTTTTCATAGAAAAGAAAATTTTTTAAAAAAATGTTCAAAATCAGTTTTAGATGAGTTTATTTGGAATTAAATTGAGTTTTTGATTATTGAGGGCCTTTTGACTGTCGAAATTTTGGTTTGACATTTAGTCGAAAAATTGTTTATCATATAATTTTCATATATGAAAATTGTATGATAAGCATTTTTCGAGATAAAAATTAAAAATTTCAGTAATCATTTGAAACTGATCATAGAGAGAGTCGAATGAGCTTATTATGAGATTTGGTATATTCAGAGCTTTTTGAAATGTTGAGCATTATATTAAAATCGTTTTTTGTTTTTTGGTCGAAAAAATGCTTATCATATAATTTTCATATATGAAAATTGAATGATAAACATTTTTCGAATTAAAAATTGAAAGTTTCAGTAATCATTTGAAACTGATCATAGATAGAGTCGAATGAGCTTATTATGAGATTTGGTATATAGAATTTATGAACGCAGAGACTGGATACGACGTGGATGTGGATACTGGTCTCAACAGCTGATTGAATGTTGATCTCGTCTGGCAGCGACTTTCGTCTCAAGTTTTTTTTTAATTGTGAGGCTCCCCCCTCGGTATGGTTCTGATAGGATTAGGAGCTTTAAGTTGTCTCAAACTTGTGGAAAATTAGTGGAAAACGCAGTTGAGGTTCCGACCTCTAAATTTTTATGTTTTCTCCATTCTTCAGAGATGGCACGCTTCATGGGTGCGTCTTATATATACTTGCCTCTAATCTATTTGCCAAGTTTGAAGAATGTAACAAGCTTATCATAAAATTTCATAGTATGGAAAAAATGCTTATTGTACAATTTCCTAGTATGGAAAAATGCTTATCATACAATTTCATAGTATGGAAAAATACTTGTCATACAATTTCATAGCATGGAAAAATGCTTATCATACATTTTCATAATATGGAAAAATACTTGTCATACAATTTCATAGCATGGAAAAATGCTTATCATCAATTTCATAGAATGGAAAAAAATGCTTGTCATACAATTTCATAGTATGGAAAAATGCTTATCATACAATTTCCTAGTATGGAAAAATGCTTATCATACAATTTCATAGTATGGAAAAATACTTGTCATACAATTTCATAGCATGGAAAAATGCTTATCATACATTTTCATAATATGGAAAAATACTTGTCATACAATTTCATAGCATGGAAAAATGCTTATCATCAATTTCATAGAATGGAAAAAAATGCTTGTCATACAATTTCATAGTATGGAAAAATGCTTATCATACAATTTCATAGTATGGAAAAAATGTTTATCGTACAATTTCATAGTATGGAAAAAATGCTTATCATACAATTTCATACTATGGATAAAATGCTTATCATGCTATTTTCATACAATTTTGGCAGTAAGGAGACTGATAAAAAAAGCCTAAAAATTAATTCTAGAGTATGGAAAAAATGCTTGTTAAAAAATTTTATATATGAAAACAAAACGCTTATTTTGCTATTTTCATACATACACTTTTTTTCTATGAAAATGTATGAAAGAGTATGATAAGCATTTTTTTACCAACCTGGGATGCTTAAAAGTTATAAGGTTTTTTTGTGAAAACTGCACTTAAAAGATATAATATATTGCGAAGTAAAACAATAACACTCTTGGTCGCAGGTGAGTTAATGGCACGAACTGTAGAGTCCGAAAAGCAATGCCGTAGAGCGACCCGCGCTCGAGTTTCATGGATAAAAATTGAATATATAACCGCGCCGAAGTTTCATGGATAAAAGTCGATTATCATGGACTTTTGTTTACTAAAAGGTTGTCTGTATAATTAATTATCATGACAAATTTAGTCAAATTGATGGATTTTTAATCCATTTTAATCGATTATTCCCGAAAAAAAATCCATTAAAATTCATCATAATAGATTATAATCCATTTTTGTTTTCAATATAATGGATAATTTTTTGTACAAAAAAACCAAGAAAATAAGTTGATTTTTGTGTATAATGACTCAATTTTTTGTAAATTTCTGCAAAGCTCCAATGAACACGTTCATCCAGGGGCTGCCAGCTTGTAGTAATCCCCCCACTCGTTCCCCCTTCTCTCCCTCCTTCCCCGCATTTAAACCCAAACCACCCCCACCCAGGCGTACCCCACTAAACACTAAACAGCCCCAACGGGACAGGTAAACGTGGGAGGGGTGGGGGTGGTGTGGGGTCTATCCCACAAAAAACTACCCCCCCCCCCCCACCCCACACCACTCCAATTTCCCCACGTTTACCCATACTACATAATTACCTATCCAAGTGGGGATGTTTAGTGTTTTGTGGGAGTGTGGTAAACGCGTGGGGAGGGTTAGTTTGGATTTTAACGCGGGTTTGGCCATTAGAACTCAAATAAAATCATAACAAAAGTACGTGGCTTTTTAAAGATTTTCATGAACGCGATTAAAATTAAGAAAAATTTGAAATTTAGCCAGAGAAGAAAAAAACTACCCGCATTGATTTTTCGAGATTTTTCGGGTAAAATCGATTATAATGGATTTTTGTCGATAAAATGTTGTCTATATATTCGATTATCATGGCAAATTTAAACAAAGTAATGGAAGTTAATCCATTTTATTCGATTTTTTTTCGAAAAATAAAAATACTTTAAAATCTATTATAACCGATTACAGTCCATTTGGAATTCAATATAATGGATTTTTTTTGTGCATAAAATCCATGAAAATTGATTAAAATTTGGAAGTAATGACTCTGTTTTCTGCAAGTTTCTGCAAAACTCGAACGAACTCGTTCATCTAGGGGCGGCCAATATTTAGATATATTGAAGAGGCCAATATGTTGTATGTATTAGTTTTTCAAATATGCCCAAAAAGACCAGTTTTGTCAAGATATTCTCCTGCAGCGCTAAAAATATGGTCAAAACACGTTTTTTAGTGTTGTGGGAGTGCTCGGAAAATCAACTTGGCCAATCTGAAAAAAATCGTCTAAGTTTTCGACTTTTTGAAAGCCCCCACCTGCCCCCACGTCCCCCCAAGCCCCCCGCCCCCTACGTTCTCACTCCCCCCCCCCCTTCGTTCCCCCAGCTCCCCTCCTTCCCCGCATTTAAACCCACTCGCGGGTTTGACAAATAAAACTTAATTAAAATAATAGCAAAAATACATGACTTCTATAAATTTTCATAAACGCGATTGAAATTAGGAAAAATTAAAACTTGGCGAGAGAACAAAGTAGTTAACTGAACTTTAATATTATTATGAAAAAATGAAAAAAGAGAGAACGTCGAAAATTTAAAAAATGGATTTTAATCCATGATAATCGATTAAAATTGGTTATTTTCTTTTAATAATTTTTTTTTGAAATTAAGTTGAAAAAATCGTTTATAATAGATTACAATCGAATATATTGGGACTTTATTGCTTAAAAAAAGTATCAATAAAATCCATTTATAATCGATTCTATTATATTGTTTTTGCTATTTTATAGAGACTGACAATGAAAATCCAATATAATCGATTATTATCCATGAAGTTTCAGTGCGGGTAACTTAATTCTAACATTAAATTTTTTATGAATAGTTTAAAACACCACACCGAAAAGTTTCAATAAATGGATTATAATCCATCATAATCAATTAAAGGTGATTTTTTTTTCTTTTGATAAAGTTTTTTGGAAATAAATTGAAAATAATCCATTTTTAATCGATTATAATCTTTTATTTTTTTTATTCTATAGAGACTGACAATAAAAATCCAATATAATTGATTATCAATTATGAAACTTCAGTGCGAGTTGGGATTCAGTAGTCAGTCTGTAAATAAACAATTTTAAGTTATTAGAAATGATTGATAATATATTTTTTAAAGTATTATAATACAATTTAACCAATTGTAATCGATTAAAGTGGATTATGATCAATTTTTTTCCCAAATTTGTTAAACAGTGCTTCAAAATTTGATGGTTTGCTTTGGCTCAACGCCTATTGGATCAAAAAGTGCAAAAATTAGATTTACTTTGGACAAGGAAATTTAACGTTTTGGGATAAAGGGTCGGTTGAACGTAATTGAAATTGTACCCGTTTTTGCATTCTAAGAGTTATGGCAAAGAGCTTCTTCCAAAGTTTTTGTAGGTTTTCTGCAAAAGTAAAAAAATATACTAACCTAAACTTTCTTCAAATTTTGTTGATAGAAAGAAAATAAAATTAGCATTACGAACCATCCATGGTTAAGAAATTTTAACAGATGGCTCAACGCTAAGTCAAGGACAAAATACTAGAAAGTTTTGGTCACCTTTTTCACACGTACACATGTGGCACATTTATTCGATTCTCTAAGGTCTGAAATAGTTTCTACACCTAATTTTGAGATTGATCTTTCCCGGGTCGAGGTCCCAGGCTCATGTCCAGACTTTGGCGACCAAAACCTGGCATTTTCAGACTTTTGCAACCATGATGATCCGTGGTTCTTTCGCAACCGAAGCGGAGTTGGCGCGATCAAATCATCGCGACT